GTTGTGCTTTCCTGAGGCTGTGACCGAGTTCCCTTTTCCTAATACAAGTTTTCCTAACTCTTTCAAAGAGCTCGCCACTGCAGTTCCTTGGATGAAGGTGCTGCTTGGGTTTTTCCAGCTTCCTGGGTAGAGACATAAGCTTGGCAAAAGGCATTTGTTTACACCAAATTCAGTCATTTTTGCTGCTCTTAACTACCTGATGGGAAGGCTGCAGATATGTAACAAACTCCAAAAGCAGTAACAATTTGTATTAAAATTATAACAGATACCCTTCCTACACTCTCCAGCCTCTACCTTTAAGAGAGCATGTGAGCAGATCCAGAGGAAGCTTAGGTATGAGAGATGATCTGCTATTTGAATTCCCACCTCTGATGAGCATTCAGGTCTTACCTGTTAAGAAAATTGTTTCTCTCACCCATCCATGCAAGATCTCTAGGTCCTGTTATCCGTTTCTGGGTAACAATAGATGCTGAACTTACTTGCTGACCATACCAAGTAGAAATCTGTAAAATACACATCCTGAAAATCTGTAATGACTCCATTTATACATATTTATGTTACCTTATTGCAGGATCTTCACACCTTCCTTTGAAGTCTTTGTGACTGTTCTTGAAAATTAAACAAAGCTCACTTGAAATAAACCCAATGGTGAACACTTGGCCTGCAGGAACCCTTTCAATGACAACAGAATGTTTTAAATCCACTACTTTCAGTTCTCCTGACAGGAAAACCTAATTAAACATAGGGACTGTTATGCTACTGAATTTTAGGAAACCAGCAAGAAATAAAGGGGCCTTCCATTCCCATACTGCAAAGCCACCACAAACAAATCTTGCTTGGCAAACTGGCAGAGCAGAAGGTATAGTGTCACTATATAAGTGTCACTTGTGCAAGGAGCTTCACCTTCTGCAAGGAAAGATACCCAGGTTAAAGGCTCTGCCCTGTAGTTCACCTGTGGACCTTCCCAGTGGTTATTGAGTGTTTGTGATACGTGTTGTCCACCCTGGAGTTATCCACCTGAGGGAGGACAGTGAATAAAGGCAGTGAAATGGGAATTTAGGGACTGAGCTGAGGGAATCAGTTTGTTTCTACCCCCGTTTTGGAGAGACTTTCTCTTCTGTTGTGCCTGTCAATTGCCCCCTCTGAGTGTTGAGCAGAGGCTGCTGCCTGCAGAAAACCATCTCTGCAGAGCACGGGGCTGCCTTGACCTTGGCTGGCACTTACAGCTGCTGCTGCCATAAAACAAGAACCAGCATTAATCACTGCCAGGCTGCTTATAGGAATGTCTCCTCCTTGGCTGAGTGAACCAGCTGTGTGCATCTACCAGCCTTCCACACCATGAAGGTGCCTCCAGCGCGGCTGATTGCTCATGGGGTTAATTCCCTGAGCACCCTGCAGGATTGTGACACGGGAGATGGATTGAGAGTCTCAGGGAATTCCCGAGGCACGGTTCATCCTGCCCATCTGAAACGATGACTTAGGAGCTGCAGATCCCTAAGGAGGAATCATATCTTGCAGGTTCAGCTGGCACAGCCTGCGGGTGCCCCTTCCAGAGCTCCAGGCCCTGGAGAAACACAGGGCTGGCCCTTCAGGGCTTTTTTTTTTTTATGTTGGCACAACGTACCTATGCAAAGGAGGAAGCTGAACTCCAGCACAAAGGCACTTTGCATCTGGAGGACATGTTCTCAGAGCAGCAAAACATCTTTGTTAGGAGTGTAACATATGTGGTACTCTCCCTCTGTTTGGCAGGAGATAAGAAAAACAGAAGCAAGGCAAAAATGAAAACAAAATGGAGCATATAGGGCATCCTGAAACGATTACAGCGCTGCCTCTCATTAGGGTCTAAATCTGGGCTTGCCAATCTTGTTTTAAAAACAGTTTTGTTCAACACCCAGTGACAGAGTTTAAAAGCTGACATATCTTGCTGTATTGTGGGCCACAGCCACAGCTGGTGTAAATCAGTATAAACTAATGAAGTCAATGGAGCTTCTCTGATTTACACTAGCTGAGGTTATGGCTCAATAAGGTTGGGCTTGCTTTCTAGGAGTGTTCAAGGAAGCCAACTTCTGTGTGTCCTGTGATGAAGTGGTTATTTATAATGGTCTTCAGTGTGGTTTGGAGCCAAATTTCCACATCAAAAGTAGCTTTATAAGAGATATCCTTACAGTGAGGTTCAGTGCAAAATCATGACTTCAGAAGCCAGCCTTCCTCGTGCTCTCAAGTATTTGATTTCAGCCTGAAAACCATTTGAGAAGCCAAGAAAAGCAGAGCCATTCCTGCCTACTTCCCCTGCTCTGCTTCATCTTTGAGTCTCCTGCATATCCAACAGGCCCCGACCCACACTGCCCATTTATCAAAGCCAGTTACTCTAAGTGTCTGTTTATTTATCTTCAGAAATTCCCAGTAAGACAGACAAGTTTCATGCCTAACCTGAAAAATTGGGGATGGAGGCGGAGTTCTTACCAGTTCCAGAGCTGTTTGTTTGACTTGGCCATTGGTAAAAATAAAACACAATAACGTGTCCCGGAGTCCCAGCGAGAGGTGGAGGTCACAAGAAAACAGATCGTGTCTTTCACAGCTCCTCAGCCCCAGTGCACTGAATTATGACTCCCATTATTTACTTACTGGATTCTCCACCCTGTGTGCAGGCTCCAGGCATTCAAAAAGCAGCAGGTCACTGCTTCAAAGGGCTGACAGGCAAGTGGGAGAGTAAAATCTGTCCTGAAGCTTTCTGTCTGAAAGGTCAGTGCTCTCGCAGCTCTCAGCTGACTTGTGCCATCTTCTGCTCAGCCATGCCTGCAGTCCCGCACCTCTGTGCTCTCCTCTGCTCAATCAAACGGGATCCCACGGCAAACACATTCCCCTCACAGCCAAACCTGCTCACTGGGCACAAACCACCCACGTGCTGCAGCTCGAGGTGCTTTGGCAGGAGTTCACTGTTTTTTCTTAGGAGGGCCCTGCTCGCTGCATGTCCAGCCTTGATGGGATCTACCAGGTGTCCAGGCAGCGTCACGGGCTCTTTCACTGACCATGGCACTTGGAAACAGGCTGATTTCTTTAGAACTTCTTGTTGAAAAAACGGTGCCTTGAATGCAGTTGTTGAGCCCCCAAACCAGGGCTGAAGCCTCTCCAAATCTCTGAGTGGTTTCTGCACATCCTGTGGGGAATGCCAAGCTCTACAGGCTCACTGGGGCCAAGGAGACGACTTTGTGGGGGCACTTCCAAAAAGGGCAACCTTGAGACTTAAAAGCAAATAATTTTCTACTTGACATCTCTATTATTTTCTTCTCTTATATTACTGTAGGAAGATCCACCACCACCACCTGCTCTGTGTGCTCTGTTTTTTTCTCAGCTTCACCAGGTTAAGCAACTGTGAGGTAAATTTTTTTCTTAAGACTGGACAATATTTAGCTTTTAAAATGGTCAAGGGCATTCAGTCTTTCTCCTTTCTAACCCAAAACCAAATGGAATTCCTACCTTTTCTTTTTTAATATTTTCCACAAGTAGTTGTGTTTGGTTGTCCCAAAATCAAGAGAAATTCTCTTCCCTGTGGAAGATTTTTAAAAAAGAATTCGACCAGGCAAAATAATTTCATTTCTGTTAACACTGTCTCACAGCCTTTCAGCATTTGGTTCTAGTTTTGGGTTCTAACGCATGTCCAGTCTTACTAGGGTAGAACTGGAAGGCACTCAGGCAATTCTCAGATAACAAGCAGGAAAAAACAATGTCAACCCGCTGTCCCAGAGGAACTAGAAATAGTTAATTAGAAGTGACAAACCCAGTTTCCTCACCATCAGAACTTCTACTGAACCACAGAGTTTCAGAACTTTCCTTGAATCTGGTTGGGGGCAAAGACAGGAAACTGCATCTTCTAAACTTTGGAAATAAATCTTAACCGTGTAAACACAAGATATTATGCCCCCTGTCTTTTAAGTAACATTTATATTATCTCAAATAAACAGTCTTTCCCAAGTTAGTCCGTAATTGACATCTGACACAGTCCACATTGCAACAGAAATGATAAGTGCAGTAAACAGCAGAAATTATGCTTCCCTGTGCTCTGAGAAACATTCATATTTCCTCGCACAGATAAACTTTATTTTGTTGCTACGCAACCCTCACACAACACACCCCGTCCTGCGGTAAATAAGAGCACAGATTTTACAACTGCAGGGCAAAGCATGTGGCCTTTCGGGTTTTCTACCCATTTGGAGTCCCAGCCCCAGCTTTAGTTCACATTAGAATATTCCATCATTTTCTTACAGAGCTCAGTGAGGGATATTTCAAGCAGGAGAGGCAGAACACTTGAGTCCTTCTGGGGCTGATGGGGAACAAATGGTGGAGCCTGTGACGTCAGTGAAACCATGAAATCAGGCCTTTTTTTCTCTCTTTTTAATCTCCCTTAAAAAGGAACATTAAATTTCCACAGCGAGGTATTCAAAGCCTTTGTGCAGTGGCCTCTCCCTGCTCCCAGTAACACTTCCACACCTGCAATCCACAGGTTTACCCAAGATGAGAGTAACAGTCCCACCTACTTGGTTTTTTTTTATAATTGCGAAGTTTCTCCTGACTGCAGAGGGTGTTTGTGGGCACTGAATAGAACCACAAGGATCTTCCCAAGCCATGGGTTGATGCCTCAGTTATTCGAGTGGCTCTCTTGCACGTGGCTGCAAATCCCACAGACTCTCCCAGGCAGCACCAGCCTTGCCTTGCCAGTGTCAGCAAATGAATCCAGGTGAAAAATGGGACTCTGGAGCTCCAGCTGGGTGCAGCTGGCACAGTTTGGGCTACAGGGATTTGCATCATCCAAGGATCTGACCTATATCCAACGCACATACAGAACAGCTGGCTGATAGCAGAGGGGTTTGTACCACTTCAACAGCAGAGTTTCCCCAGGTTGACTTTGTTCTTTGGTTCTTTACAACTAAAGAGTCCTCTGAGCTCCTACAGCCTGCGTGCTTACCCAGTCCTAGCACAGAGTCAGCAGGGAAATGACACTGTTCACAAGAAAGCAAGATTTAATCTCTGCAATCTCCAGTCTAGTTTCTCTAAACAGCGAGCAAGAAGTATCTTTTGCATTTTAAATCTCAGCATTTCTGTTTGCTATCAAAACATTCCTGTTTACAGCTTCATTTTAACAGCTGAGTTACTCCCAGGCATGGAAATCAAGATCAGCATTTGTTGCAAAACACCTCAAAGTCCCTGTGCCCGTCTTGTATCAAATCCCACCTCTAATCACACCTCCCAGTACAGCAGCTTTCCTCAAGAGCCTAAAACATCTGGAAACACCTGTAAAATCTGCTTTGAGTCTTTTCTTCAGCAAGTGATGTCCTAAGGGGCCGTGCCTTCTCGGTCAGGATTGCAGGATGAGGCCCACAGAGCGAACACGGGTGGGTTTTGTCTGGAAGCACAACAGGCAACACACGAGGCAAAGTCTTCAGGCTTAAATCTTGGAAAACACTTCATGTCTTCGGATCAGTGTCCTGCCAATTTCTTCTACTCTCCGGCATCCTGGAGGAGAAGTTACATTTCAGTTGAAACTCCACTCTAAGGCCTTTCTTTCTCTGTCTCATAAAAATCTACATTCTGTGAGAGCAAATCCACTCCTTAGTGACCAAGGATTTGCCCCTACTTTCCTATGGATTTATTGCTCTCCTCGTGAGAAAAAATAAATGTATCGTTTTTACGTAATCTACTCAGTTCCCCTTTTGTAAGACAGGGATAACAAGTCCTTTCCCCCTTTCTCCCCAGGCTAACCTGTTCGTGCCGCAAACACTCCCCTCCTGTGAGCTGCTACAGCATCTTGCCCAGGGCAAAGGAAAGCTGGGGAAAAACGTGGTTACGGAGAGGAAACGCTGATGCCCCACCTGTCAGCGCCATTGCCAGGCGAAACTCCTCCTTCAGCATCTGCAGAACTTCTTTGGCTCCTTCTTCACCCTGGGAGACGAGGAGACAACGTGTGCTGTTATGTGAGTAGCTATAGATATATGTACACACGTGTGCCAAAAGAAGGGTTATGCCCCAGTGGAAGTCCTGAGTGTTTGTCACGGCAAATTTTAACTGAGATGATCTGGGTGCACCCAGACCCACTAAGACACCACCACACACACTCCTGTTGCAAAGCAAGCCCAAACAGTGAGTTTGGGTATCTTAAAAACAGGCATTTCAGCTTTTTCTAACTTACTTGATAAGCCAGTCCCCAGAGCAGAGGCCTCCCGATGAACACGGCTCTGGCACCCAGAGCAAGTGCTTTGAGGACGTCCGTGCCTTTCCTCACCCCCCCGTCCAGGAACACCTCCACCTTCCCCTGCACGGCCTCCACGATCTCAGGCAGCACGTCAATCTGCAACAGTGACGCCAGGAACACGGCTCAGCTGCTGCTGAAAGCCCAGTTGTGTTTGGGGTGAGTCCTCACACGCAGGACCCAAGGCTTTACAGCAGCTCAGTGAGCAATTCCATGCCCAGCTATACCCAAAGAACAGCGCTGTGTGTTTACATCTGTGACACAGCAGGTTAGCAGGGATAGACAAAGGTCAAATTTATTTGGAGGGTTACACAGAATATCCATCTGATCCCATGACATGGATCTGACACAAGCTGGTGTCTGGTTCTTACGCAGAGCACAAGAAACAGCCAGCACAGAGGAGGCCTTTCCACGCTATTTCCTCCCAAAATTCCAGTCTTCACTAGTTCGGGGATGAAACTGAATCACTGTCACTTTTTAAACAATCATCTTTGCTTTCCTGTTTAAATTTGTTATTAATTTATCCCGAGGGCCCAGCTAGCACCAGGACCCCAGGGGCAAGCATTGTACCTGTGGGCAAGGAGTAAGAGAAAGGTGTGCCTGCAGGAACTTGGAGTGGGCTGAGAATCTTAATGTATTTTTCCTTTGTAAAATGCATCTTATTACAGGAATAACTGTAGAGAAAAACTTCACAGAATCAAAATTTAGCTTTTCCCATAAGTTCTGAGCAAGGCGAGATGGAATTTATTCCTCTTGCCATGCAAGAGGTCCCAGTGAAGGGATGAGCCTCCTGAATCCAAGCCTGGAGCATTAATTCCAGGGCAACTGCTCCTGCAAGGCCACCTAAAGAGTTCCTATTCACGAAAATCAGAAGTCAAGTATTAAGGGGACTGGAAACAGTGTGTGGTAGGAAGACAAAAGGCACACAAATCCATGCCTTTTAAACACGGATGTAATTCATTTCCTTTCTAATGGATAGAAATGACTGGAAGATGGGGTGGAAAAAAAAAAAAAAACAACTTGAAAGTGCAGTTTGTTTTTAGGTTTGGATTAAAATTTTCTCGAAGTTTGGCACTTGCTGTGGATTTTCCCCCTCCCTTTGGTTTTGCTCTCCTGCCAAACACATTTCGGGTCTCTTTCCGTATACAGAGACCACTTTCTACATCCTGACAAACTGTACCAACATTAAAGTGCTCCCATAACTAAAGCATGATGCAAAGCATCATTAAACCAGAGATTTCCTCACTGGGTAACCAGACACTAGAAATATTGACCAGCTGGGGTTCAGCTCACCGTCTGAAAAGCCGTGACGAAGAAGCAAATTATTACGTTTTTAAATCAGAAACATTTAGTGTGATCTGACACAGATATTTATATGATTAAAGACTGCACAGAGCAGGGCAGTTCTCTGGGCCATAAATCCAGCTTCGGTAGTTCTCCTCTGTGCTGTGGGCTTGCGAAGGAATAACCCAGAACGTGTTTGCAAATCTCTCTTCTCCTGCAGCTGTCAAAAAATTAATTCGCGTTTCCTCGAGCTTTCTCATCGCTCAAAATTAATATTTTTAACATCCTCATTCCTGTTGGATTCCCCTCACACACACAGGCTGAGATTTTCAGATAGTTTCAGTGGAACTGGGAGTACATTCTCAGAAGGGGACAAGATGACCTGCTCCCCTCTCCCTTCAGGGAATCCTCATGGAAAACAGGAGGTTTTTCATCAAGAACACACTGGAAATACTGAAAGAGGCACAAGTGGGCTTTGATTCTCCTCCCTTTCATTCTCTTTTTATTTGTGCAGCTTTCCCACACCAAATGAAGCAGGATGAGTGATGACTGGAATTTTGGGGTTTTTCCTTCAGCCTGAACACATACTTTTTCATTTTCCTTTCCTTCTTTCTTTTTTGCCGACCGAGAAATTCTCAAATCCCTTTCACCTTTGGAAAAGGCCCGGGGTAGCACGACAAGGAAAAGGAAAAAGGAAAAAACTGTAATTTAACCACTCTGTCCCTTTTCCAAAGGTGAAAATATTCGAAAGGAGAAAAAGAGAGAGTTTCATTCTACCTTTAGCTGTTCCATAACTGCAATTTTTCAGAAGCCTCTAAAGAATATTAAAAGGGGAAAAACAACTCCAATACAGCCTTGAGTGTGCTGCAAATGGCAACAGGAGTTTTTCAAAACAAGAGTGGGAAAGGAGACACGAAAGAAGGGACTGGAAAAAATTTCTTAGGGATTTTCCAGTTTTCTCTGAGCAAGGGGAGGCCGTGTCAAACTCGGAGCACAGCGTGACATCCACAGAGCTGTGCAGGGAGGTTCCTCATGGGTTAAGGCAGATAACACATATTCCAGCTTTTCCCTCCAGCCTCCACAAGTTCAGAGAGAAGGCAAACAAGCCAAAGGCAGAGCAAATTAGGGACTAATTGATGCACATTGGCCCCAGTACTCACAGTGGCAGGGACCCCATCGAGCTGTCGTGCTCCATGATTTGACACCAGGATACCATTTACCCCAATCTTCAGAGCTTCTTTAGCATCATCAGCTGGGAAAAGAAATCCAGACTAGTTATGTTCTTCCATACCTGTGAGCTTGTTGACTCCACGAGGAGGGAAATTTTGGTATCCCTGAAAAAATTCCTGCCAGATAATGCAAAGAAACCTTAGGGCTTCAGCCTTGCAAAGCCGCACCTCAGCACAGAAAAAACGTTTCATCTTTAAGCAATAAGACCAGAAAGTAGTTTGAAATGTTAGAGAACATTTAATCCCTTCGAATCAGCAGCCACTTGGGCCGCTAGTCTTTATTTTCTCTGCTGTGTTCTAGAACTCATCACTAAGAAGTTATTTTGCTGAATGATTCCGTCCCAGCCAAAATTTTTGGCATGATTACAGTAATAATCCAGACTTAATGAAACCACTCCACTGTGCTCAGTGCTCTTTGGACAGAATGGAAATCCAGCTTTCCCTGAAGCTCTATCAGCTCAGGTCAGGGTTTGCAGACACAATTCAACAGAGCAACTTCAATCCTCCTGGCTGCATCCAATCTCAGATATAAATTTAATCAGCTGCTGCCACAAGTGTCTTCACTCCTGGGTTTTTCCCACTGGAAGCAGCAGAGCTGCACCCCCCTGAGGGGGCCTTTACCCCACACACCCCTGAGGATTCCTTTCACCACGATGGGCAGCGAGGTGAGCCCCCGAAGCCACTTGATGTCCTCCCAGTTGACGCTGGGATCGATGGCCTCGGCCACGTACACGGCCAGCCCGCTGTTCTCTCCAAAGTCTTTCCCTGAGGAAAACGCCAGGTCGCTGCTGGAAAAGTTTTTTAATCTAAAACGACAAAAAGAAAAGGAAAAATAGGCTGAGAAAGGTCCACTGTAGCCACAAATCAGTTTATTGTAGCCACGAATCAATATACCTGTGATAAAACTTTGCTGTACTGCAGGGCAGGAGCAAAAAAGGCCAATCCCAGCATGTCAGATCCCAGTCCTCAGTGAGCCAAAACCTTTGGCTGACAAAGCATTTGATAACCAACACAAGCATTTGATCTTTAAGGTCCTTCCTACCCATACCTTTCTATGTTTCTGTGATGATTCTGCGCAAGGTTCTCTGGCCTAAGGCAACAGTCCTGCTTCTAGCAAAAGAAACACGGTTTGGTTTGGCTTGTTTTTCAAATCCAGGGAATTCAGCTGTTAGAGGAATAGGGGATCAGGTAGGTGGGAGGGGAGAAGGAGGAAGGGAGGTTTTGTTAAGCTCCATGAATTGGGTGGATCTGCCTTGCAAAGAATTCAGAATTTCCCTCTGTCCAACAAGGCCAACGTGCAGCCAGTTCACCTTGCGTCTCTTTTGTTCGTGTCCTGGTAAAATTAGTTCACATGAAAACATTATGTGAATAATGTTTTTAGCCCCAAATCAGTCAGGTTCTAGGGCACCCACACCAGGCTGATTGCTCTGCTCCTCAGAAACCGTGTCTCGTTCCACACTGGGCTATTTAATACTCATATTACACATTTTGGGAAGTGCATGAGGTGTTCTGCATGGAAACTGGCTGCTTTCACTGCTGATTTCATGCCTGCCACAAGCAGCATTTCACGTGGCTTTTCAGTTCAGCTCCAGGCCCAGATGCAAAGGAGGAAGGAGAGGGCTCCCAGCAAGATCCAGCTTTTCAGCTGTTGGTTTGTGGAGGGTGGGGTACCCAGAGAAAAACAGAACCAGGGATAAGATTATATAAATAACTGTTGTTTTTCTTGGCCTGGGAGAAGCAGATCAACACTTGAATGAATGTTGCCTTACATAGGTTTCAGAGCACAATGGCACCTTGTTGTTGCTTTGAAACTTTGTTGAAAACCCGAAGCCAAGAAAAAGTTATCACGCAAATGAGCGGAGCCCCCACGCTGGGGTGGGGAGGGGGGGGGTTCACCACCGACCCTGCAACAAAACCCTGCCCAGCATTGCCCTGAAACCTGCACTGATTAACTGGGACCTTTAAGGACTGTTCCAGTTTCGTGTGATTTCATCCAGTTCACTCAAAACCTCATTATGGTTTGGTCAGGTGGGGGTCAAAGTGTTTCAGAAACGCTCTGCCCCTTCCCTCAAATGTTTTAGGGTCACCGGACTCGCATTCAGAAACTCTCTAACCCCAGGCCTAAAGTTATACTGCCCATAAAAAATAAGCTATTTAAAGGATTAGTTAATTCTTTTTCAGGTGAAATGCCAGTGCATACTGATGGTGTTGTGCCAAACACAGATCTACAGCAGGATCACGATGTGGGGCAGGCACATCCCAGTGTGGTTCATTTTCAGCTTGGACGTGTCAGGGCTTTTTTGCTCTCTGCTGCTTTCCTCCTAAGGTTGTAGTTTATAACACAATTACAGAGGCAGAGTTCAGGCTGCTCTGTCAGCCTTCATCATACTCTATTTTAGCTCCATGTGTAAGGGGGAGAGGCAACACCCCAAACTCTGGAGGGGTCTTTGCCTGTGAGGTGGAGAATCAGACTCATTGCAAATCCCAGGGCTTATTTTCTATAATATTTCAGTAGAAGATAAGAGAGACCTTGGGATGTGATTCTTACTGGGCACATGTTACATACATTGTATAACACAACAGTCTTTGGGGACATAGGAAGAGCAATTCAGTTTCATTGCTAATATTCAAAAGTAACTTTCACCCAGAAATCCAAGTTCATCTGCTCTAAAGTAATTTCACTGATCCTTTAATAATTTTTTCCTTCCATTTTTGTGTTCATTTGCACGCTCTGAAAAACCTTGACATACACTGTGGCAAACTACAGTCATTACCGAGACCTACCTGCAAGATTCCCACAAGATTTTTATCTCCAAGTCCTGGGTAAACCCATCCATTAAATAGTTTTCCAGCTAATCCTCTTGGCTGCTAAAACTGTGCCAGCACTTCAGCACATCTTTATCAGGTTGGCCCGTACAGTCTACCAATTTATATCTGCAAAAGGCCAGGGAAATCAGTGCCCTGACAACACCATCGTAAGGTTAACATTCTGGTTTAACTCCGTTAAAATTGAATGCTTCACAGGCCCTGCAGTGGGAGGGGGAACCAGAATTAGTGCTGAACTCAATCACCGGGCCACAAATTCTTCCGGGGCAGAGAAAACGCCCCAAAACACACGTGGGGGTAGAAACTGCCCTCCCGGAGAATTCAGGGAGATTTACAGCCACGTGTTCCCGCATTGGAGCACAAGAAAAGCTGCAGCTGCCCTCCCCACACCCCCCACCCCCTCGGGGTGTACCTGAGGTGCGGTGGGAGCTGGAACCTGTTGCGCACGTCGGCCACGCGCCGGCCCAGGTAGGGCGTGTCGGCCGTCACGAAGATGCCGCGGTAGCCGGCGCGCTCCGCCCGCCTCACCAGCGACTCGGTCACCTGCCGGTCCTTGTACACGTACAGCTGCAGCCACAGCAGGCCCCCCGCCGCCGCCGCCGCCACCTCCTCGATGGAAGACGTGGCCCAGGAGCTCAGCATCATCCCTGTCCCCACGGCCCGGCAGGCTGCGGAACACAAAGCCGCGTTTGGGATCATCCAAAACTGAGGTTCTGCTCGCCAGCACAAGTTGGTGCACATAACTACACCCTGCCTTTCCTTAATGTTAGTGCATTCCAGGGAATGCTGCACTAATAGCAGCTGCTAACAGGGATGGGCTGTGAGCACTCCCTGCCTTACTCGGTGTGATCAGGATGATCCCTGCTCCAACAGCAGAAATATATCATAATCCAACTACGCCTAACTCATATCAATAATTATCCCATGGGAATCCCGCTTGTAAGCCCCTGGTGTCTGGGTGTCACTGGTCAGAAATTCTGGTGTGTGAATTTAAGGACACATCCACGTGCAAAGTTCTGAATGGTCTAAAAAAAAAATAATGAATTAATTAATTAAAATAATGCATTAAAGGCTTCCAGCTTTTTGCCTCCCAAAAATCGCCCTCCCCAGGGACCGTTTCCAACCCAGGCTGTACCAGCTGACCTCATGCAGATAGATTTTTATGAATCCAGCACTTATTCTTTTTGGAGTAATCTGTCACTTAATATAAAATAAAGGAAAACACGCCGTGGAACTCCAAAATATTACAGAGAGCCTTATTTTTCTTGCTCTACCGCAGAATGCATATTTTGAATGTAAATGGAGCTCTGTTTCAAGACGTCACCTCCAGCCCATCGAGGAATTAAAAAGTGGTCTTTATGACAACATTTGATTAAATAAGGATTACAAGGCTCTTGGAGTGGAAACTTATGAACAGCTTATTCAAACAAATCGGTCACGCCCTCCCAGGGCGCTTTCCCTCCCTGGAAATGCAGTAGCAACGACCCAAAACTCCAAAAAGCTGTTTCATTCCTCCCCTTAAAATTCCGGTAAATAGTTCCCTCTTAGGATAAAGTACCAAGAAATGAGGTTTCTTTCTAAAGAACCGCAGATACCAAATGGCCCAAAATCACGTTAAAAATCGGCTGTGGGGGGTCACCACAAATTCCATACTAAGTGAATTCCCAAATCGAGTCCGTTGAGCGACGCTGAGCAACAGGGGATCCGCATTCCTCCTGCTCTGTCCAACCCCAGCACATGAAGGAGCAGGAAGGTTGATAACCCAGCAATTGCAAAACCCTCAGATCAGATAAGGGAGAAATGTAAATGTTATGGTTCAATGTGCCTTCAAGGTAGCCAGTTATTCCCATTCTGCCTTTCCTTCCCAACTCCAGTTCCACAGCCCAGCTGACATAAGAGCAGTTGCAAAAGCAAAAGTTAAATATTTTTGGTGAAGGGAAGATTTAAAACACAGTATTTCACCATATCCTTTCAATTTAGCATCACAGAGAAAATGAGGCTTTGCTCTTTTATAAGATCAGATTTAAGCAGTTTGGTTCAACCAGAGTTCAGCCATCCCAAATGGGGTTATGGCATTCTCGTGCAAGCACACTCACCAAATTCCCCCCATCTCTCCTGCAAAGTTCACAGCTCTCTGGTGAAGCACCAGCTCAACACACACACCGTTTAGATCTCCTCAGTTCCGAGTTCACACACAAAATTTTTCAAAGCTTTCAAAATTCCAAGTTCCAGTTTTGGTCGACCTGTGCTTTGCCTTGATCATTTTAAAACATCCTCTGATAATTTTCTAGACTTGCTAAACCATGAGATACAGAGTCCTGAAGCCCTGCCAGGTTTGGTTTGGGGTTTTTTTCTACCTCAAATTAGGTTTTGCTAAAAATGTACTCCCACTTCTCACACACTGAGCTGCAGTTGGAGCAAACAGAAGCAATTCATTTCCTCCAACAACCCTATTTCCCACTTCAGCTTTGGGGTGCTGCAAACACCTCTGTCTGTTGTTACAGATCAGTTCTAGCAGAGCCATATTCCCCCCGGGACGCCCTTGCTGCAATATGTGACATTTGCCAGAGTTTAAACCCCAGTTCTTTTGTAAAGCAGCCTTTCCTCACACCATTTCAGATGGTTTTTAGTTTGCTTTCTTATTTTCCTCAGGTCTTTCACTCCTGAGCATTGCCCTGAGCACACACGTTCACCCTTGCACACCCTGCAGGCTCCTGGTGGGACCCACGATGGCACAGAGAGGATCAGCCACACACAGGAGGCTGGAGAAGTCCATGGAATCACAGATGGTAAAGACTCTTTCCCTATTATCTGATCCAAACCTGCCTCAGTTTTCCCATCAGGTGGGATATCACTTCATTACATGGTTTGGGAAGGATATGGAATTTGTCCCTGTGGCAACATACTCCAGGGGAGGACACTGGAGAGGAGCCCAATTCAAAGGTGCATATTTTGTCAGGGTTACCATGTATGGGAATGGGAATTTGCTTTTCCCCCCCATCATTTCCCTTTTAGAGCCATCTCCAAAGCACAGCAGCCACACTGCAGTCCTTTTCCCCCGAATCCACCAGGGAACCCACTGCCTCCAAATTCAGGGCCAGAGGACATTCCCTGGGACCAACAGGCTGTCCTTTTGGCAGGGTGGTATTTCTCAGGAGCAGCAGCCGGGTTCTGGGAGCTGCATCTCCCCAGAAACAGAGTTGTTTAAAGCACTTACTGTCTCTCTCTTGACAAACCCCTCCAGGGAAGGACACGCGTGGCCAGAAGGGATGTGGCTGGCCTGGCATGCCAGGCTGCCTGGGTGCACTTGCAGCACAAAGTCCCCCGGCCACGCCAGGTTCCAGGGGCAATCCGGGTCAGGTCAGCCCAGGCCGTGTTGTCCCAGGGGAACGTTGTCCTCTGGAGCAGCCACAGCTCACAATTAACCTCTGGTTTTTGATCACTGCATAAGTAACAGGTTAAAGATGGGTACAAAATCCTGCTGTTTCCACTGTGGCTGAGTGATTACAAAAAGTAATAGATCACCAAATCCCTCCTGCCCAGTCACTGATGAGCACAAGGAACATGAATCCCAGTGAGTGAACAAAAAGCCCGGTAAGAGCCTGTTGAGAGCCAAATTAACAAAAAGGTGTTACTCACTCTCTAGGGGAAGTGACAGAGCTGCCAGTAACTCATCTAAAACAGGGGGGGAAAAGCTTTCCAGTCAATATTCCCATTCTGCATTTGGCAAAGCAAAGGGTGCAGTCACATCACAGGTGGTGGTGAAACCCTCCCTGCGTCAGCAGTAGCTCGGAGAGAGGTTTGAGGGCAGGCACAGAGGGCAAACAAAAACTCTGAGCCACTGCCATTCACAGCTTTCCAAAATCAAATCGGGTTCTCAGCCTGGTTTTCAGCCAGTCAGGGAGAAGTCAGGCATTGCAGTGCTGCTTCGGGGTGAAAACACGGGAGCAGAAGGTGCTCGGTCAGCAAGAGCTTTATGGAACAAGCAGGAATATAAACAGAAATAAATAAACAGTAGAATAACGCTGCAAATCTGTTTATCATCAATTAAAGGCTGCAAAAAGTTCCCACTTCTTGCTAAGCAGCTGGATGGTGCCTGAGATTTTGTGTCAGTACACAGGGAGCACGTTGGTTTGCAAGCACAGCTTGGAGTCAGGATGGCAAATGGATGTCCTGGCAGGGAGGGACAACGAGGCTCCTGATGGACAAGCAAGAAAAATCCCTCAGGACCAGACGGGTTCTATTGAAAAGTGTTTAGAGAATAACCTTTCGCTCTTGAACGGTGGCTAAGATTATTCACCACATTTGGCAAATATTTTTAGTGAAAGAGGTTGAAATTGGAGTGGGGAGGAGGCGAAAAAGAAAAAAAAAAAATCACCTAAGTCAAAATGTCATGTGTTGATCTTTTCAAAATGGAAATGTTTTCTCCTGAGCTAACACTTTTGTTTCAAAACAGAGCTATGGGTAAAAGCATCGGCCAGTAGGAAAATGAAATAAAACATTGTGTTTTGGATCAAATGAAACATTTCAGCTAATCCAAAACAATTTTCCTCCCAATTTTTTACAGTTTCTACTGAACAGAAAATCCCTTCTTTGGAAAATTGCCCTATATATTGATGAGCTACCACTAAAATGCCAGGGAATAGACTTGAAGGAAGACCTGGAAGAACTGGGACAACCGCCAAGGTGTGTGAAATTGTTTCAAGCACAAGAAAGCTTTCTCTATAAGGAAGGACTCCTGGCATTTAGACATGTCAAAGGAAACTGAGGGGTAACATTATTACAGCCTGCATGGGCATTTTTTTAAAGTTCAGTTATTTATTTTTTATCAATTCTAGCTCACAGAAGTATAAGTAAACCCACCACCTGGATTTGAGGCTGTGCAAGTTTTGCCCATGACTGTGAGTTAACCTTTGGAATAACTTCCACTGTGCTGGCTGGCCTGTCCCCAGCAACTTTAAAATTACAATTGAAAGTTTCTGCTTAAAAGATCCTTTGCTGATGAAGCAGAACTGTCACTGAAGGGGTGTTTAAGGCCCTGTCTTGGGAAGGGGCAGCTCAGTCAGTGCAGGAGAGCATCATCCCTGGAGGAGCAGCAGCCCCCAAAAGCCCAGCAAGAGGGGTAGTGAGGGCAGGGAGTTTTAAGGGTGTGATTTTCATTATGCCCTCCTTTGAAAGCAACATATTCCAAGGGATACGTTTACTGGAACACATATTCCAACCAGAGCCCCCCAGCTCGAAAACCCAAGGACCCCAAATGCAACAATCACGTGTTAAAGTTTGACAAATAAGTGCACAAAAATCAGGAAATTCTGGAATTAAGTTATTACCACAGCCATGACTCAGCCCTAGTACTCAGTCTTGTTGCACCCCTTGACTCTGCATGCCATTGTGGGTTTATGCCCCAAAACGTGGCCAGGATGCAGAATCAGTGGGAATTTTTGCTAAGAACCACCCTGAGTTTTGTGTTTCACATCTTGCTCTCCCCATTGCATTAACAGGTTTGCACTCAACAGTTTGACGCTCCGGAGTTTCCTCCCAGCGCAACCTGGCCCAGAGTTCACCCCCAGGAGCTGCCAGAGGACAGGACAGCCCCGGGGCTCGCTCCGGCCCTTCCCAAACCCATCCCAGGTGCTGGAGCTCCACCGTGTGGAACGCGCCGGCACACGCAGCAGCCACGAAAGCGCTGGATTCCAGCACACCTCCTGGGAAGGGGAAAAACAGTGTCCCCAAACACGGTATAACATTGGAGAAATCTAGTTTTACAGAGAGGGCTGCTGGAGTTGTGCTGAAACCCGTGAGGGGTGCAGCTTCTTAATGAGAGCTGAGAGCAGCCCCCACCGCAGGGATGGTCCTCAGACTCCCCTCACACTGGTGTTTGCTGCATTGGTCATGGAAACACTGTTAGAGGGATAACTCAACCATGCAGGGGATTTATCTTTTTTTTTTAAATATCACTTATTTAAGCTTTGTATCCTTTTGCATTCAGTGCTGGGGCACTGAAATGCACAGCCCAAACCTCTTCCTTGCTTTTCACATCATTCTGCAGCCCAGGTGAAAGGAATAGGAGACAATTTCCCCTCTCAGTTCTGGTTAACGCCCCATTTCTCACAACCTTTGAGGTGCACCCTCTGTGCTGGCAACATCCCTGTGCAGCTTCTGGCCCAGACGGCCCCTTATCTCCCTGCATCCCTGGGATGCTCTCTCTTCAAAGCAAAGGTTTTTCCCAGGTTTTCGAATTCCCAGAAGCAATTCCCTAAGAGGAACACTGGCGCTGTGCCTACATACATATAGTTATATTCATAAAATGTATAGATAGATACAGTTTTCAAACTCCTGTTTCACAGGGAGGGAACCGCAGCCAAACAAAGCCAACAGCAAAAAACACAAACCCCGAAATCAACGAGCAGCAGCTCAAACCCATCCTGGAGCGAGAAATAGAGCTGGGTCCCGTGACCAGGATAGTTTTGTGCGTGCCCTCCCCCCCCCCGGGGGACACTGTGTGCACTCACCTCTGGCTGTGGCGGTCTCGCCGTCGGGGTGAGCCATGCGCTGCATCGCCGTGGCAGCCACGCACACGGGCATGGAGACACGCTGGCCCAGGACACAGCTGGACACGTCCAGCACAGACACGTCCCGCAGCACCCGCGGGTACAGCCGCCACCTGCCACCAAAGGGACAAAGGGACAGCGCTGCAAACTAAACCTCGAATCACCCTCCACCGCACTCTTCAACACCACAGCAGCCAAACCTTTAGGAACAGGGTTGCATTCCAGGGGACACCCCGTGAAAAGGGGCTTTTTGCCGCCATCCAGGCGATGTCACAGCGCTGCCACCGTCACCAGAAGCCAGCAGAGGGGGTGCGATAGCAGGGGTTGGCCTCTCAGACGGGTCAAAGCCACTCGGCAAGCACCAGCCCCTCACAGAGGCCTCCGGGGGCCAATGGATTTTAATTACAGAAAAGAATTAAAAATTTAAGCTTTTAAGAACCTGACTAACTGCTCTGACTGATAATATTGTAATTCTCAGCATGGAGAGAGAACCAGAGCCATTGTTACCCTCCAGCAGGGAGGAGAGGGGAGCTTGAGCTTGCATGTTAAACTGGCAAGTGAGAAAGAGACAAAATCCTGTATATTTTGTAGAAAGATCAGGAGACACTTCCCTGAGGAGCCTGGGACAGAGCCAGGATGAGACCCACCTTTCTGGAGTCCTGGAGCACAGGGCCATGCCAGCTCTCCAGGAAACACTCCCCAGGGAGGAGAGAGACAGTTATGATGCTTGGAAGGAGCTGTGTGGCCATGGGGAGTCAGCTGAGATGTTCAGCGCCAAGACACACAGGGCAAGTGTGTCCTCAGACTTGTTTTCATGCCATTGTATGTTTGTTATTTTTCAGGGGAGGATGGGCTGAGGGTGGGACAAAGAAAACATGACTTGTTTTAAACTCCTCCTTTCTTCCTAGCCCTTCATTCTGAAGGATTCCACTCAGCTCTGAGGCATCTTTTCCCAGTTAAAAAAAAAAAAGAAAAAATCCTTTTGAAACCTTGCTCATTTAGACAGTGAGAAGCACCCTCTCCATCAGCATCCTGACTCTTAATTGGGTCCCACACAAACACCAACATCACTACCCCTTTTAATAAAATCTGATCTTCCTGTGGAAACACAGGTGTTTCCAGCTCTGAGTTCGATGGACACTCAAAGCTAGGCATTTTCTGGACAAGCCACAGGGAAATGCCCCCAACAGCAGCAAGGAAAACCCACAAGTTGTATTTATTTCCCAGTCACCAGAGCACCTGTTCATTCAGCTGCACCACACCACCTGCTTCCTCCAGGTTTTTCAGTGAAAACATTTCCTGGATATTTTGTAAAATACTTGGATTTGTTTTTTGTTTTTTTTTTTTTTAATTCATCATCTCCTCATCACCCACATCTTTTTGCAGCCAAGTCCATACTCATGTGCTGCAATCAGCAACAGAGTGAGCACATCCTTCTTCCCAGCTGGAAGTGGGAGATGCCACAGTGGGGAAGGCAGCAAGCGCTGCTGGTTTAGGCAGCTTCAGCTAAAAGCTGTTTGGAGGGGAGGATTAAAGAGAAGGAGCAGGATTAATCTTTTGGGGGTTTTTGCTTTTTTCTCCAAGCTGAAAAATTTCCGATTTTAAATTACCTTGCTGAGGGGTAAGAGGGAAGCTCTCACTGCTTTCAGCTGTGAAAAAATGTTTTCAAACTGCAACTCATTTTCAAGCAGCTCTTCTTGTTTCCCTTCCCAGCTCATCCCAAACAATCCCCTGGTGCTGCAGGGCTGTTTTGTTTCCTACACACATTGATGTCCCCCCCTTAAAATGCCAAGAGGGGAGATTCCAGAGTGAATTCCTGAATGCCTTCAAGCTAAAGGTGTCCCAAGCTTGCCACAAGAATCCATTCTCCATTCAGGCTCCTCAGTTCTTTGACAGCTGCGGTGTTCCAGAGGTGGTGTGGGATGTAGCAACACAAACATCCATCAAGCTTACTCCTTAATAATCTTTCTATTAGTCCTTAATAACAATCTATTTCTTCCTCTGGAAATGCCACCATCCTGTGGTGATCCTAGGTGTCTGTAAATATTTCACTCAACTGCCCACAGTTTGAGTCAGGCTGAACCTGCAGCTGAGCTTCTGGCAGGGGAGATCCACGGGAAACGAAGCTGAACTTACTCATATCTGTCCAAAAATCATCTGACCTTGTGACTTTGTGTAAAGTCCACCTTACTTTATATTTACCCACAGGCTGCACTGGGGAACAGGCAGAAAAAAGGTGCTCAGAGCCACAGCAGGGCTGTGTGAGGAGCAGAGTAAGCAGCTGCCCTGCATCCATAACGGGTAGGCCACGCTCCTCCCCGCAGCACCCAAGGGAAAAAGAGAGATTTCACGAGTTGTTCGTGTCAAACAGGGCTTTTAAATCATAATATTACAAAGCCCTTATAGCAGTTTCCACCTTTTAGAGATGGGTGGCAAACACAGGCTAATGGCTGCTAATGGCAGCATCCCATGTACTAAAAAAAACCAGGATCTTTTCAGCACGGGAATCAATCCCTGCAGTGGGCAGCAGCTTCAGAGCCCCTATCTCAGCTCCACCATCCAGCTCTGGGAAACAGCCAGGGAACATACCCAGCTCTTTCTTAGCCTGGCTCTGGGAGGTTTGGATCCAGTTTAATCATGATTAGCTCCTGCAGCTGCAAGTGAAATGTTCACTACTCCCACAGTTTACGGCCTCCCAGTAATTCCTGAGTATCCTTTCCCTTAACGTCTCATTTTGGATTTATGAGGGCAGGTAACATCAGAGCATCTGGGGGCATTAGGAAAGATAAAATAAAAATCAGGTGAGCACTGCTGCACCCCCTCCTGCTCCCATTTACTCCTCAGGGCAACGCCTTGGCTCATGTTTGAGCAGGGAAATTCCAGTCTGGGATGATGGCTCCTGCATGAGCACGGTCTGCAATAAGTGCTCACAGCAGAGGTGACTTTTCTTCTCTTGACTTTATAAGGCTTCCCTCTGTGTGTCCCTAAAATGAAGGTTCTGAGCCCATTCCTGCCATCTGGCCTTTGAGATCCTGCTAAATTATCACTGCACTTCCTACAACCTCCAGCTCCTGTGGGATTTCTGGCTGACTTGCTCACAGCCTGTGGAAAAGCAACTGGAGCAGTGAGCAGAATTGCTGCTCTAAGCAGGAAAGCAAAGTGGGGAAGGAGAAAGACAAGATAAATCAGAGAAATCTTGTTTTGGTTTGTTAGACTCAGGAGGATTGAAGACAAAGCCTTCAGAGATGAGCAAAGCCAAGGGCAGGGGTTAAATGCCTCCCCCAGCAGGGCACCCCAAGGAAAGGGCTCAGCAGCTGTTGCAGCAGCTCCAGGGGCTCAGCTGGGCTGAGGGAACAGCCTGCAGCTGCCTCCTTCCCTCTGCCCTGCCTGGGGACACCTGGGGGTGGGAACCAACAACGTGACACTGGGACACTGTCACTGCTCTGACAGCCAGGGCTGACTGACTGCGTGCTGTCCTCCTACTCCTGAGCCAAAGGGGGGCCTCAGCCAGGTCTGGACAACAGTTCAGGGCTCCAGTCTGAGTTAAGGAGTTCCCCATCATTTTAAATATTTCTTGGGGAAGTGCTGACCTTCTGCTGGAACCACCCCCCCCCCGAGCACAGCCTGCCCACCCAGGACTGAGCCCTGGCTCTGCCAGCTCATCCCAGAGCTGGGAAATGCTCCTTCTGATCTGGGGAGGCTGCACAAATCATTCCCTTCAGGAGGAACAAGCAAAAGGTTTCACTCGGGACCTAAAAAGGGCAACCCCACCACAAGAACCCCTTGCTGGCACTGCAGCCCCAAAATGCAGCAGTTACAGTTTCACTGGCTGATTAAATATTGGAGCTGAAGGATCTGGAGAATTTCTGGTAACAAAAGAACCAAAATGCAGGGAAAGCTAAAAAGGTGCTAATGGATTTTAGGAACAGCTTTTTGACAGCAAGTGCTGGGTGGAGGAGTGAGAGGGGAGAGACAATGGTTCTGGAAAATCAGCGATTTGAGACTCCTCTTGCTAAAAAAGTTGCAGAAGAACTGCGTTTTGTTCACATGGAAAACTCTAAAATTGCACCACATCCAGCACTAAAGCAGAACTCACACCCCCCTGCCTCCCACCCCAGCCTTCAATCATCCTCCTACCTGGAAAACGCTGCCACATTATCTGCAAGTGTTTGCTGGTCATCGGCTCCGGATCGGTAATAATCGTACACGGATTTGGGCAGGAATGTTTTGGCATACTCCTCAAAATCACCAATGCACACCGGTTTTCCAGACATGGCTGCAGATCCCACAGGGGTAGTTTATTCCCGCTGCCCTCTCTTTTAAGCTTTTGCCTGTAAATCATTAATACAGGGCCTCATCAGGATTCAACTTACCCACATCCCGAAAATAAAATAAAAACACCAGCTTCTTGTGTCACACTGGACTTCAGCACTGTATTTTACTCCACGTGGTCAAGGCCAACCTGGAATACCATGGGATAAAATATGGTAAAAATTAAAAAAGAACAAGCAGAGAAAGAAATAAGTAGTTAAACCTGCAATAACAGGAGTGTGCAGTCCCTCATGGACACCTTTGTCATCCGAAATATCTAGAAAAAGCAGAAAGTCTGTTTAAAAGCAAAACATTGGTTTAGATGATTTCTAAGTTGGTTAAAGATTTCCAGATTGAATCTTGACTCGGGTTTTAACAAACAGATGTGGTTTGCAACAGGTTTATGGTGGTTGTTTGTCAAGGAAAACTTTCCAAGTGTGTGTATAATTCAGTTTTCCAGCTGTGCACTGCAAATTGATATCAATATGCCAGTGGTCTCCCTCTGACACCCACAGGGGATGGATGAGCCAGCTGGGATTTTCTCACTCCAGTTGACTGCAGTGAAGATGAACTGGCCAATTAACTGCAGCATATAATTCAAGTATTTCAGTGTTCAAGCCATCAAGGCTGCTGTGCAAAGCTGTTTTATCAAGCCACTTACATAAGTAAAACATTTTGGCTTCCAAATTCCCCGTGAACACTTGTGGATTTCTCTAAAATAAAGTCAGAAAGCCCCTATTTTGTGGGGTCTTTTCAGACAGTCTCTCACACAGGGGACCGGCTCTCCTGGGGAGAGTTGGATGACTGTGCCACAAAATCAACCCAGGGCACAGCTACAAAGAAATTCTCAGTGCCACTTTTGCCCCCCCAATCATACAGTGACATAAAAAGTGCCCTTATCAAGGGTGATCTTTCCACTTCCTTACGTGGCACTGACACAAATTCCCACTTGTTCCCTGTATGTTTAAATCCAGAGCTTTCCTTTCTCCTCGGGAAAGACAAAGTGAAAGCAAAAGCACAGAGAGGGTTTTTTTAGGTGTTTTTCTACCGGGAAAGGAATGTTGGGTTAAAACAAGTAGTCCCTGCAGTGTGATCAGCTCCCAGCAGGAGGCACACACTCCTCGGCAGCCCCATTCCCAAGAGCTGGGAGTTTGCTGCTCCAGTTCAGAATTCCAAGGTGCAGTTCAAAATTCCAAGGCAGAAACTCCACGCTTTTCTACCCCTTTAGTTCAGCCACCAGAGTACCTTCCTGTTTCCTCTACAAAAGCAGAGCTTTCGGTTTGCCAGATCAGATTCTGCCTGCAGTATTCCACGTGCTGTTTTCATGGAGACAATCTCATGTTCTCGCAAAAGTGAAGGAGAAGCAGCTGATGAAACAGCAAACCAACAGAATGCTCGCAAGGCTTCATTTCACACCATCCCAACTTGTGCTTGACAGCAGGAAATGGATGCCACGGAAAAGCAGCCAACCCAAGGGAGTGGCAAATCCCCCAAGCCCTGCAGCTGCTCTGTTCCCAGGGAAAGGCAGCTCAGGGAACTCACCTGAGGAGAACGAATCCACGTTCTGGATCCAGGAGCTGTTCACATCAGCCAGGTGGGTTGCAGTGCTGGTTCCTGGCAGTCCCTATGGACCATTCCTTCAGCTCAGCCTGCTGTGAGACACAGCCTGAGGATGGGCCATTGAGCTCTGCACCTCTATCCTGGACCACATCCTGCTGGCCTCCAAATTATGACCAAATTATGACCAAATTATGACCAAATTATGACCAAATTATGACCAAATTATGACCAAATTATGACCAAATTATGACCAAATTATGACCAAATTATGACCAAATTATGACCAAATTATGACCAAATTATGACCAAATTATGACCAAATTATTGACAGAGATGAGCCAGCCACGCACTGAGGAAACGAAAACTTACTGCGAGATGGTCATAAATACAAAGTTTATGTGGAGTTTCAGTAAAAAATACCCCAGAGTATAAATCTGCACCACTTCCACGGAACAGACAATCCCATGTGACATTCCCAGGAGGAAATCCCACACAACACAGGCCACCCACGGGGCAGCAGACACAGAGCATTCCAAGACTCACAAGTTTCACACAGACCTCAGGGGCAAGAGGTTTGGAAGGCCTGATGGATTTCCAGACCAAAGGAATTTTTGACTGGCTTGCTGTTAGGGATTCCCATTCAGATCCATCAGGGACAGGTTTCCAGGGGCACACAGCACAGCTGATACTTAAACTGGTTTTTAACCACCCCAAGGTCGTTTTGTCCACACTGAGGTTGCAAGAACAAGCTCCAGTGTTTAAGATCAATCAGAACACTCAGGTTGATCCTGACTTTTTGGAAACACAGCAAGTTTAACACAGTTGTAACAGTCTAATTAGTACTACTGGCGTGATGCAATTAAAATGTGTTTTAGTGGGAAGAAAACTGATCCTGGAGAGTATATTAACGTGACACCTTCGCTGCACAGCTCACAGTTTTTCTGTTGAACACAAATTTAGCCTTTGCAGTGTTGCCTACTTGTTGCCACATAAACACTGGTCACAGCTGGCTATGTCCAGGGTCACGCTCCAATAAGTCTCCTACAAATGCACAGCTAAGTTGGAGGGATCAATGGCTGCTCTCTAAAGCCTAATTACAACCCAGTGATCTTTGTAACGAGATACACCAATACAAGTCAAATCCCATTCACATCCCCCACTTTATTGACGACGACACCGGAGCAATGACATCCCTACCGTGTTCCAGAACCCCTGGAAGCCTGGCAGAGCTCATTTCCAGACTCACAAGACAGATGCAAACTGTGGCCACTTGCTGCCTGCTCACTTAAGCCCTGCTTAGTGATCCCACAGTTCAGCCAGTTAGGATGGAGTACAGAACATCCTCTCTGGGGACAAGCAAAGACATCACTGCCCTCAGCCCGTGCTGGATCCAGTCCCACAGATTTTCCAGTGCCCGGTAGGTTTGGACCCACCATTTAGGGAATACGTCTGTTCTTGTATTATCTTACGCAAGTTCATGTACCTGAACACACCCCCCAACTCCTGCTCCTCTCGTGAAATGTGGTCACACTCCTGGTTTTCTTTCAGACTTCAGAGAGCTCCTGATGCACAGATAATGGAAAAAAAGGAACGTAATGGAAACAACTCCGTACTCCGAGCTTTTAAGTGCACAATTTTCAAGCTACAGTGGCCACAGAGTGGGTTTTTTTTTTTGATTTTTGGAAACACAAGTTTAGCTTTTCAAAAGCTGCTGTGGTCTTTTGTTCTTTGAGCAGCTCCAGACAGACAAACGAGAAGTTTCTACCACGTAGTTCTAAACCATCAGATGAGACAGGACAGAGATGGGAAAAGCTAAGCTTTCTTAGTAAATACCTTCTTTATGAGCATTTAAAAAAACCCGAAAAAACAACAACATCACTTTCAACACAAATCGGCCTTATTAATGTCAGTCTCAAAGGAAACCAGCATTTTGCACTTGCAGCTTGTCTCTTCTAACGAGAGATGACCTCATCATGGATTACTCTCCATTCTTGAAGAACAAGGTGAAATTCATGCATGTGAGCAAGGCTTATGCAATATATATTTATATATATTAAAAATAGTATCAAGATTAAGACACATCTCACACACATGGCCACACACCAACAAAACAGAAACATACAGGATCTCTCTGTAGACGCTCCTTCCCAAAAAAAAAACCTCGTGTATTAACCCAAAGGAGTGATCCACTGATTTCTGTGGTGACCCAAGTCTCCTAACCAACCTAACGCTGCCCACCTGACAAGCCACCTTCGCTACACATGTTCAGCACGCACCCTTTTATTCTGATATAAGTAGCAAAACCAACAGCTCCTCCCCACCACCCACCTGCGCCCCTCTCTTTTCCCAGCGTGACAAAGCCAGTGACAAAAAGTAGAGAAGTGATCAAAAGCAAACCCCCGAGTGCCCCTTCAGTTCTGTATTCCCAGTTGGAAGTGGCAGGGCTGCACTGCATACGACAAGCTTGGATTGGCAAGAGATGCACAGCTCACTGACTGCAAAGTGAGTGTTTCTTGCTACAACCTCCCGATGGGAACAAATTGGAAAAAAAAAATAAATAAAAAAATAAAAATGGAGTTGTGCTTTGGCAAAAATTCCCCCTGAACAAAATAATTTCCTTTGAACCTTTTAAAAAGCTCCAAGGCATTTTAAACATCTAGCTGCCACTCTCTTCCTGCCTGAGGTTTTTCAACCGTTCCAACTTCTTGGGTCAAAGAACTCGAGTTGTGCTTCTGGATCACCAAAAACTGACACATCTGGGGACGGGCTGCGGGACGACAACACGAACAACAAGGAGAGAGAAAGGTGCTTCGGTCGAAAGTGATAAAAACAAACCCACTGTACACGACATTTCTGATAGAAGACTGGTAAGGTGCCTTCTTTCAGGAGTGCATCCCTTATCTGTGCTCCTGGGGTGTTGGGGTACAATAAACATTCAGACAGGGAAGTCCCAAAGTGGAGTTAAAAGCCCCGCTCTTGCTCAGGGAGGGACACACCCAAAACACACACACACACACAGAGATATTGCCCAGCTGGTGAACTGGGGCTCACAGCCCCTTTTCTCTCAGGAGACACCGACCAGATAAGCCCCAGATAAGGGCTCTGATTGTCACAGCTAAGGTTACACAACACAGCATCTGTGCTTATCCGACAAAGGAAGCAAGTCCTAGCTTAAAAAAAAAAAAAAAAGAAAAAAAAAATACAAGCCTGCTGACAAAGCAGAGGTTTTGGTAAACACAAATGACAAATCAAGTTTAAGCTCCAGCTTCAGACCCTGGTCTGACACTTCTTTGGTCCAGGTGCACAAACTCCCCCAGGGAGAACTAGAGTTCCTTCTCAGCCCCCTGGCTCTTGCGCTGCCTCACCGAGCTCTCAGTCTCTGACTCGGCCAGAGGTTGTTCACTCGAATCTTCTGTTTCTTCTTCCCCCGATTCTTTCCCGAGCGCCAAATCCTCCTCGGAGTCCTCAGCACTTGAGTTTGCTGCCTCTTCTCCCTCTGAGAGATCCTTCCCATCCGCAGCCTCTTCCGCCTCGTCCGCGGAGAGCTCCGCAGGCCCCTCGGGCTCCTCCAGCGCCGCGTTCTCGGCGTTGTCCTTGCTGATGGCTTCCTCTAAACACAACGAGAGTTGCAAAGGCTGCAGTCAGACTGAACCCCAGGCCAGTGGCCTTTCAGAGTGCACCACCACCTGTGTGTCCTGAAACACTGAGGGGTGCCACTGACTGGGGTCATTATCCCAGCCGGAACTGCAACCGGACGATCTCTAAGGTCCCTTCCAACAACGAAAACTCTGAGATTCTATTGAAAACTTTCTGTTATTTTTCAATTAACTCAAATCTTCAGTAGTATTTCTCCTCCACTTTCTTTTGGTTTTCTTGCCTATCAGGCACAGACAGCTTCCATTTCATTCTGCTGAGTTACAAACCAAAGACAAGCCAGTTCTCCCTGGATTATTGGTTCACATGTATTGCCCTCCCTCCTACAAATCTAACACTTGGACCTACAATCTCTCACCCACTTACCAGGTGTTTCAGCTTGGTATTTTGAGCTGGCTGGGCAGAGGCAGTCTGAAATCAAAACCAGGATCTGTGGAAAGGACCAAAAGGCATTTATTAGCAATAATTACAAGGGCATTTATTAGCTGTTCCCAAAGTCCCTGCACTCATTCTTTTTAGATTGAAACACACAACATAGCTTTCTAAGTTACATTATCTTGCTTAGAGATAAGAGCTAAATAAAAACACGGGAAGAAGTGCTTTCCCAGTGTGTACTAACCAGCATCCTCTGCTTTCTACTACCCATTTTCTGCCTCCCACTTTCCTAAATTTATTCGGTATTGAAGCTGCTTGCATCTTAAGCAGACAAGTTCAGAACACTTGGAAAACTTTGAAACCATCTTGGTCGAGTTTTTCTGTATTTTTTGATGTTATTCCACCCTTAGCCCTGGCTCCCCTATGTACAAAGTGAGCTTCCACCTTTTGTGCTGGTTATTTAAACAGCCCAGTGCAGTTCAACCAAAACACAAGGAAGACACAAGGAATTTGTGTCTCCTTGTCACATGCTGAGAATAACGCAAAGAAAAAGAGAGAGCTGACACCATCTTCCAGAAATACATTTCAATCACTGACAAGCTTTTTTGGAAGGAGCCGAGAGATTAACTTTACATTTTTTCCAGCTTTTGCATTTTGGGTGGTTTTGGGGCTTTTTTAAGTGAAGGGAAGAGGAGGAAAGTTTCTTTTAAATCATCATATTCATTTGCAACTAGTTACACGGACTTGATGTGCACTCCTTTAGTGACAGTTTGCCATCTAGAAAAATGCAGTTGTTGAAAACAGACAGCGAAAGACATTTGCTTTTATACAACACTTTTGTCCATACAGTGTGTACAAAATGTAGGTTTGCCTAACTTCAAATTTCAGCTGCTTTGAAATCACCTCCCAATACTACTGAGAACGAGACTGAAGTTATGTCTTTATTTCACGAATATTTGGGCTGAAGGGCACAGCTCCAAGTCCCAAAACCAACCTTCACACTTGATGATTTAGTGATTTAGCAGCAGCTTAAACCAGTGGTCAACAGAACTGCTTAGGATGTCTTGGCTGTTGCAAAACACACTTGTGGACCAAGCAACTGGTCTGCAAGAACTTGCACTCCCATCTGTATCTCTTTTTTTTTTTTTTTTTTAGCTCAGTTTCCTATTTGCTGTTGATATTTGAGAGGTCACAGAGTCACATCTTTCAAGTGTTCCGTGAGGAAACAATCCCAGCTCCAGAGGTAAAGCAAACTTGGAATTGTTCCCCCTGATGGGAAGGGATATTAGTATTTAATAATATATTATTAAAGCAAGGTATTTAAGTATGAGGGAAGTCAGGTTTATTTTTTTCACAAGTTAATGCAAGGCAAAAGTTGTCGGTAACTGAGGAAAAAAATTCATCTGCTTTCTTACCAAACCCAGGAACAGGCCAATCAGTAAAGTGGCCAAGATGAAGATTCCATAAGAAGCCCACACGTGAATTCCAAGAGTGCCAGTGAGGTAGTTATGGATTTGCTGGAAAGGAGAAAGAGATAATTAATAACTTTATAGCTAAAACCAGTTCTACTGCCCAAACCACTGCATAAATTGCTCTCTGATTCAGCCCCTTCATTTAACAGTATTTACACTAAAGTCTTCCCTTTCTGACACCATAAGATCAGGCTTTTCTTTACTGAGTTGTTCACATGAAAAGGCTTTTTAGGCAGAGGATGCACAATTCCTTCTTCCTAAGGCACTCATCATCAGAGGTGCCACAATAATCTCACTGGGGATGAATTTCTGAGGGAGCCTCAGAGCACACAGGAAAGTGTCACAACACCCTTCATCCTCGTGTGGCAACTCGTCATTAACTGATATTAAGCCATTTAGTTCTTACTTGAGCTGTTTAGTTCTTGAAAGGAGCCACCCATTCTAAGCAGACACCGAATAAGTGATTTCACTCATAAATTCAGAGACAATAGCCCAAATACAATATTAATATTGCTTTGCAACTGCAAACCTACACATTCAATTCAGTGAATGAAGCAGCACAGCGAGTCAGTCTGGGAGGAAGTCAATTATGACATTAGATCGTGCCAAGCAAACCACCATCAGCACTTACAAGAGCCCAGATCCTGAAATTCCAGAGTATTTTTAAGCGTCAGAACAGCTTCCAGTATTTATTAAAGCACAGCCAGAAGAGTGAGGAAATGCACAGCTGAAATACTCAGCCAAGGGGAAAGCAAATTAGAGAAGGTTCCTTCCCAGTTAATCTTTCAGGAAGGAAACCACGGAGATACAACGGAAGAGAAACACCACAAGGCTATAAAAACTTAATTATGCCCAGAGAGAATCAAAGAGTTGGCACAGGAAACCAAGTTTCTGTGTGATTCTGGGTTGGCCTGACGCTGATTTTAAGTGATACAAACTATTCTAACCCTCTACTGTGTTTATTCTTTGAAGCATGTTACAATATTAAGATATTTTGCTACAGTAAAACACAGTCTCAATCTTGGCTACACTTGAAGATTTTTAAGTGAACAAAACTGGACAGGTCTGAAAAGTCTCACTATTTGCATTGCACAGGGCAACCTTTGACAGCTCCCAAATGAAAGCGTCTCAAAATACTTAAGTAAAACGTGCTTTAATGTTTTGCAGTGTACACTAAGCATTTCTCATAATCACCCTATCATCCAAATTTTGGTTCCTATGCAAATGGTGCTGACAGTGTGAAACCCTAAAAAATAAACCCTTGACCCTCCCCTCCCCATTACAACACCCAGTGCAAACAAACTGCAGAAGAACACGATTTACAGCCCTGAAAAGGAACCTGGAGATAATCTTGAGGAATAGTATTAAGTGAGATAATCTGGTAGATCCTAAAACGTATTCCTGGTATTTACAACCACTTTTGCAGCAGCTCTCAAAAAAAAAAAAAAACCCTACTTTATCCCCTTAGCACAGTTCGATAGAGCTTTGTAACTATACCAAGAGAATAAGAAAAGGAGGTATTTTTATTGATGGTGATAATCTTTGAAGTCAAACTGACTGCCATTTAGCACTTCAAAATTGACAGGGTAAAGATACTGTACAGCATATATATATTTATATACACACTACATGTGGGGCAAACTTAAGCCTGATGAAAGGATAATAATTTCAGTTACGTTCTGACCATCAGGATTGCTCCAATCACAGAAAGGGGGTGGAGAAAACCCCACCACACAGTTACTTACCCTGATCCATCCCGAGAAGTGAAACAGCCCTGCCATGCCGTGCATCCTAGGAAACGAGGAAATGGGAGGAACAGGTTCTAAGAGACAGCAGGAGTTGGGATACACAGCAAACTGCACAGAAACCGGAAGATTCCATGGACTTCCAATGCCCTTCAGACACCAATAATTATCAGGAGGAGGCCACTGCAAACACATTTGAGAGCCTGAAACCCTAAAGCAGTCCCTTGAAAGGGGACATTTGATTCTATCAAGGAAGAGCATTTTCACAGCATAGCCCTGTGGAGCCCTAATCCCTTTTCCTCAACTCCCAGCAGCCCTGTGGCTCCTCTCCCCATCACTAAAGATCCTACAGCTCTTCCCCCTTCTCAGATGAAAAATAAGGACCCTCTGTGGATCTCTGAGGTGAATTTACACATAACAGCTTCAGCCAGGATGAAATGCAGGCCTCTCACATCTCAGGTTCATCCTCTGTGTCACAGAAACATCCTATTTGATATTTCCAAGCAAATTCGCTCTGAAAACAAATTTTCATACGCTGTGTGAGCACTGCACTGTTTTCTGTTCCAAAGGAGGACAAAAGGCTCTCTTGGAAAGACACAAACAAGAAATCCTTATAGCTAAAGGCTGCCTGGCCCAGCAGCCAGGAGTCATGAAGGACTAATCTCCATAAACACGCTCCTGAGTCCAGCACTCAGCAGATATTGGAAGTGGCACTTACATAATGCTCAGTGGCTGTATCTTTTTTTTTTTTTTAAATCTCTTTTCAAAGACGACAAACAAGCCTTAGCAGGCAGGAACAAAAGGGAAGGCAGCAAATAAACTGCTTTTAAAGGTGAGAAACTGGAAAGCAGGCTGTCAATGCAGATTGCTTCTGCAAAGCTACGTGTCTAGGGAATAAAGGCCTTTTGTCTGTAAGCTGTCAACATAGGACCCTTAGTGAATAATGAGCTATAAAACACGGCTCTTGTTAATAAAAACAGTGGGTTACATTATAGAAGATGGAGATTTCCATCCTGCCACAGGTTCCACAGCTTCCCATTTCCTCTCTAAAATGTAGCCTTGAAGATCTTCCAGCGTGCGGGAGCCTCGGTATCTGCGGAACACTCCGTCGCTGGCACTGGAAAACAGGAATACCCACTGGCACACACATCCCCTGGAACTGTATCCACGGCAAAAAAACACCCAAGCAAAACCCCACAAACATTCTAGAGTTCACCTGCTCGGAAATTTGAGTGTTTTGGAACTGCAATCCATGATGGAAGGTCTCAGCTTTTATCCAAACTGCTGTTTTCGTTAAATATTCGCTTGCACTCCAGCAAATACAAAGCACACGAGGTTAACAACCAAACCCTTTTTTTGAATACAACTCAGAACTGCAAGTGTGCATACAGATGTGTATATATATCTGCATGACTCACGACACCCTGACTTCATAAAGGGTTCAGTATTTTAGGGATGACATCACCTTACTGGAGGAGAGCTACAGCAAATGCCTTCTCTGACCCATTTTTAAAAGTACTGGTAACAGGGAAACTTTAGTGAAGTCCCTTAAATTAAGACAAGAACTTTCTCATACAAGCAAAGCTGCAGCTGAGCTGAAATCAGAAGTCAGTAATCCTTCATTTCCCCCCCACATTTTGTTTAAAACAAGTGACAGGCAGGACTCAAGAGCTGCAGCTCCCAGCACAAAACACTTACTGGTAAATTGTAGGAAGGGTTGTGACGAAGAAACGACCACTCAAGCCTAGAAAGGGGAAGAAGAAAAAAAAAAAAGGCCACAAACAATTCAGTAAAACTGAAATTTCTCAGTATTCTGACTTATCTATAAATACCTACAGATTTTAACTAGAAAGCAGCAGATGCAGAGCTGTTACCACTGTTTTGTAAACACAGGTTTAACAGTTTGTCTTCAGAAAGGAAGCAAACAGTAACAGATACAAAATACTGACAAAATATGGAAAAATGCTCACCTTGGAGCATGTTTACTGCAAGGAAACTTCTCTAATTAGTGGGTTTCTCTAACAAATACTTGCAAAAAGCTGAGGTTTGTGACCAGACCAGCTCCAGCCAAGAGGAAGAGCCACACAAATATACCCATATTCCAGGATGTTTCCAGGTTCTTGTTCTTCCTTCCCACACATCATTCCTCCCCAGCTAATTGCAAATGGCGTGCCAACAGATGGATAAAATAGTTTGAGATGTCTCAGCTTTCTGTTTGGTAAAATATTGCCAGTTTAAGGCATGACAATCAGTTTTTACACCATCCAGGAGGAGAGGTCAAGTCAGCATTTTGAGCATCAGCCACGGGACAGCAGCAAGGACAAAAAAAACCCCAAATAAACAAAAAAAGAGCCTCTGGAGGTGATCAACCCCTAGATGTGCAGCCCAGCTCCATTAGCGAGGGCTCAATTCCTCAAGCCAGCAATTACCATTCATATAGAGCACCAGTGGAAGGAGTACAGTTATTTAACCTGGCCTTTTATAAAATTCTGTGAAAATCTTTGGGGAAACTAAGTCCTTATTCAGCTTTCAATAATGCAAACAGCTTCAGGCACCAGGATTAGCCATGGGAAAGTACTGGAGCAAGGGAGTTGCTGCCTTTAAAGACAAAGATGAGCCCCTACTGCAATAAGTCAGGTATTTTCAAAAGAAGTTTCAGTGGTAATGTTCTTTCTAGTTTGAATTCCTCCATGGAATTGGCAAAAAAAGGGTTGTGGCTCTTTTTGTTGTCTGGGGGCTTTTCGTAGCTGTTTAAAGCAAACCACCTTTAAAGCTCCAAAAAGGAAACTTTCTCTACTTGGAACTTTTCAGCTCTCTGCCTTTATGGCTGGGAGATGCAAGGTGGTGGCAAACTTTATAAACCCACTTAAAAGCTGTGCCAGCACAGGGGACGCAAGGCAAAACCAACCCCCAAGTGTAACAGTGGAATTAATAAAGCAGAAAGTGCAGCTGCACAAGGAAAACTGGGTGGAGAGCCGTAAAGAACATAATTAGCTTATGAGCAGAGAAAGTCCTGGGCACGCTGAAAGACTCCCTGAAGTTCTTACAAATACTAGGCAAGCAAACAGAAAACAAAATAGCTGCTCAAACCTCTTCTCAGCAGCCCATCTTAGAGCAAATACAGTCTCAGAGGAATAATAAAACCTAAAAGTTTAAAATCCGTTGCAAAAACGCATTTAAGCATCCCCAAAGCTTTAGCTGGAGGTTTGCTGGTTATCTGAGGCACCTCCTTTGATCAGCAAAAGCAGATGTGAGTCAGCTACAAAATTTAAGCACAGGCACTAAGTTCTGGTGTGTGTGTAACACAAACTTATAGTGGCTACTAGTTTAACTTGAAATACAGCTGAGCATCTGCTTCCGCTTGCAAAACAAACACTGACATCCATTATGAAATCAACATCACAGAACTTGGGGATCCAGAAGCATCTCCAGGACTTGCTTTTTCCACCCTGAGTGTTTCACCAGGGAAGATGAGGCAGGAGGAGGCACTTTAAGGCTGGAGCACCCAGTGAGTGAGATGTGCTGGAAGGCCATTAAGGCTCTGGGGGGTTTATCCTCCAGGCATCTGCTGCAATTAAGCCCCACGAACGGCCACTTTCTCCCGCAGGTTTTGCAAGTGCAATTTTATGCAGCTCTGCACTGGTCTAGTGGGTTTTCCCCGGTTTAACACATTTTGGCTACTTCCAGTTTGATGGAGGGGTTGCATAACCAGCACTAATGAAGGTACCATTTCATTTGAGCGTTACATAAGCCAAAGAATCCCTGCCTAATTGGGAGAAAATAACTGGATAGGATTATAATGAATGCCCATTTGCAGCCTGACTCCAGGGCAATCATGGTTTTGTTAAGGTGAGAAGTTGGCTTTAAATTTACATCCATTTAAAAAAAAAAATGTAATATTCAAATTAATCTGTTTATTAAGCTATTAATGATTACTGTGTTCAGCTTTTTGGTCTAAGAGTTTCTGTGTCCTCGTGAACTTTTAACAGAACATGAGCCCATGCAAGGTCTAGAACAGCTGCCATTTCCTCGTGAACTTAAATTGCTGATTTCAAGACCAGAGTTTCAGTAATTTCCCTGCTGCTATTTGATAAAGCAACTTGTTCAGCATGTTTTCAACTAATAAAATCAACACATTTTACACACACTTTCCAAGGCAAAAAAAAAGAAAAATCAGTAAAGCTCAGCCTTTTCATTGTAGTAACATCCCTTTGATACTGCTGACAAAATCCTTTATCCCCTCAAAGCCAAGACAAGCGTGAAGCATTCCCAAGGGATGCAGAGGTTTATCCAATATTAGCCCTGCTTGTACAAACACAGATCCAAACCTCACTAAAGGAATAAATTGGGTTGCAGTCCTGCTTCTGTGGACAGCCAGGAAACCCCTCCCATAAAGACATGGTGCATCACCAACAGAAAACAACAATAGCAACAACGAATAACTGCAATTTAAAGCACTACCACAATTAAAGGAGACAATAACGCAGCACCATCATGGAAACAGTTAAGAACTTTAATTAAGGCAGTGCTACCACACCCTGGAACTCTCCAGTGACAGACCTGGAATCTTCTGCAGACACTTGGGAGGAGACAGGAATGAGAGAGGCAACAGCTTTCAGGGGAGTAGATTAAAATAGAGAATAAGCTTATTAAGTATTAAGCCAGATCACTCCCCCAATTCTTTAATCCTTCAAATGGAGTTTATAACATTCAGTACACAAATAGGAGCTATACGGAGAAATAAAAATACAGATGGCATTATGTTGGTTTTGAAAGCTAAATAAGTACTAAGTGGTGCTTATATTAAATAATTCCTGTTATTAAAACATCCTGTTTCATGCTGTACCTGGTTCCTGAGTGACATCCACCTTCCCAACAGTGATGCCGAGGTGTTCACTCTCCTTGGCAAAGCTCTCCCAAGTGGATTCAATCTGCTGACAGGCTGGACACCAAGGAGCATAACTGCAGGGGAAATAAAACAGGTTACATACTTTAATATTCTTACACTTAAAGACACTCAAATTGATTTATCCCACACAGAAAATACAAACATATCAATCACAATGGAAAAAAATCCCACAGTTTTTCTTGATCAAGTCCACTGGTTAAGACAATCAGGTAGTTTTTTCATCAATCCCTGTGTTCCTCCTCCCGTTATTAAAACAAAAGCAAATCTCCAAAGGTTGGAGAAATTCATATCCAAACTCCTTGGTACTCGTGATTGATTCTATTTACATAGGAAATAAATCCATTTCCATGGCAGCTCCCTGAATTATTGATGCCGGGCTGTGCTCTGCAGTGGAATCCTTCATCCATCATCACAACACTCTGTATTGATTTCCCACACCTCAGAACTCCTGGAAATGACATTTGCCTCAGCCCACCACTCCACAGAGCAGAACAGGGGCCTTCTGATAGCACCCATTAGAGATGTCAACAGAGGGCATGTCAAATTCCTGCTGCTCACACTTATTGTCTTACTCGGGTCTTGTTTTTCCCCCTGGATAATTCCAGAGGAAGAAAGTTTCAGAGCAGAATTTCTGGTCATTTCTCACAGAAGAGGTAGAATCGAATTTACTCTGAGTGCTGCATGGGAGCTTTGAAACTCCAGCCTTTAAAAATAGGAACTCTTGTCACTTGGGAGTTAAAATGACACCATTTAAAAACACTTGTATTTAACTGTACTAGGAATGTTAACTGTGAAAGCCACTATCTTGGGGTTGTTTTTTTTTTTTGAGTCGCCATCATCCTGCGTGAAAGCACCTGAAAAAAAATGGACATGAATCTTTATCCTGGCAAAAGACAGCTCCTCAGTGTACTCCAAAAGGCTGCTGGAAACGAGTCTCACATGCAGCACTCTTTCCATTGTGCTGCTGGTCTGCTGAGGGCTTTTAATAGAGGTCTGACAGATAGTGTGCTTTACAAACAGGGCTGTTTTATTAGAGCAGCTCGGCTGATCAGTAAGAACCACATCCATCCATCAGATAATGCTGCTGGTGTTGCTCTACAATGAGAGAGACAAGTTGGACTGTTTTCCAAATGGGTCAAATTCACGCCAGGAGATTTTCACAGTTAATACACCTGTTTAGTCTGGCCTTGAAATAGAGAGTTTATATTTACTTTTGACATTCATGAGCAGTTCTGAACGAAATTAGGTGGAACATTCAACACACATGGCTAACGTTCTCATGGTTATAAACATTTTCTTTAGTTCAAAGCAGCATTAAAATCCCCCCATGTCACAGCTTGGCAGTGACAGAACATGACAATGAACTTCCCCAAGGGCACTAATTGTTGACTACCTAGTTTTTATTACCCATCCTGGACATGGGATGGCAATAGTTCCATACCATGCTACAAGATCCAGCCGCTCCAGCTGAACATTGGCACAAGCAGGATGAAAATATTTGCTTTACATTCCTGAAACGACACATCCAGCTCTTGCCAGCCAGCAAACACACTCTGTCCACACGTGTACAAGAGAGAACTTGCATGAGCAATCACACCTGTGCAAGTCAGCACTGCTGCTGACTTTAACAGCCTCTCTTTTCTGAAGCTTTAATGTCTGCATTTGTTGTGCAGCACTTGAAGCACCAAGGGATTAATGAGTGCTTCCTGGAAATAACAACAAAAAAAAATTTAAGACTGTGCCTCAGTCTTAAAAATATGTTCCCTTTTGTCCTTTCTCCATCAGGAAGTTACTGGAGAGTAAAATAGTTGATGCTTAGATCATCGCTATCAAAAGTTTCAAAAGTTTTCTGCTCCCTGAAGAATTGAGGCTTTAAGGAAGTGCTTGATTTAAACGTGGGCTTCTAATGAATCTTTTAGAACTGTGGCTGATTCATATCTCCACAAAAGTCATGGTGCAAGTGCCATTCTTATATTACCCAGAAAAAAAAAAAAAATATAATGTGTAGGAGCAGGAAACAACACCACCAAATTTAGGGTTCTTACCCCTCCTGCTCCTCCCTTTGCACAAGGGGGAAGCTCCAACTGTTACCTTGTTTGCAGCGCTCCCCGTGCCCCAAAAGAAAGCAGACCCTTCCAATTCAAAAAATCAAAGCTCACTGGAATTTAAATCAAGACTTCGGTGCTTGGTTAAGGAAAGAAAGTTTTCAGCAGCCTGTTACACCTTAAAAAGCAGTTTGTTGTGCTTCAGCCTGTAACAGTCAGATGGAAAACACCACACAGCTACAAATCCCAGGTTTCCAGACTGCTCACTGCAGGCAGGTTTCACATGTTTCTCAGCACACAGCTCTGACATGGCACAAAGTTTTACAGATGAAAGATGGCCATGCACTGTCAGCCCTCCATAAAAAGAGGCAGCTGACACCCATCACTGCAACAATTGGCCTCGGGGGGTTAAAATCACTATTTCCCAGGTGTTTTCTGGTTCCTACTCCAACCCATTACAGCACCTGAAGCTTTTTGCAGAGGGCACAGAGGAAGCAACAGGAAAGCCAAGTTTGAGGCCCTTAGACACAAACTTTGCTCTTGACTTCTATTTATCTCTGATCTAAAACATAAAAGCTTTGGCTTTCACATGCCAGCAACTTCACTGGGGCAATACCAAAAAACAAAACCCCCACCTCAGTTTAAAAGCAGTTTGAGTGAAGTGTCGTTCAGCCATAGGAGTGCAGAGGAGATCAGTGAACACAGTGACTTCACTGAGATGTCCTGGTACAGTTTCCAACTCCGAGCCATTAACGTCTCTTCTTGCACCTGTTCACCCGTTCCCTCATTTTCAAATGAATGTAACTATCTCCTGCCTGCCTTTTCCTTCCCATTATTGATAACCTCAGTGAAGAGACATAACATCCCCATTTCTTAAACCAAACTGTTTGGTGGAGTTCACGCTGGGAGAACCATTAAAATTAGATTGAAAACGATCAGACAGTATGTAACAGAATCTGTTACAACAGTATCAGAATTCAGTTGTCACTTTTATTCTTTTCAGTAGTTTTGCCTTATTGCTGCAGGTTTCACAAGCATACAAAAAAACCAAAGGACAGTCCCTAAATACAGATAGGTCTTGAGGGAGGAGAGGCAGCTTTGTAATTTCGACAGAAGATAAACCTCACAAGATCAACTACACGGCTTTGGTCGACTTTTCAAGGGAGCAGGTGGAAGCCAAAGATACACAAGTTGTTCCCTGTCGTTTACTGAGATGTGTATCGCAGCAGCACACGCTCTGGAAGATGACAAGGAGCTTCCTCCCAACCCAAAAACAGCTGTTCTGCCAAAGTTACACAAGTTTTCTTTTACCCACTGCCCAAGTCTGAGCTCCCTCACAGACCAAACAAAGGAGGTTTGTTATTACTTACACTGTTCTCACTAAACTCACCTGGCTAGAATTAAAATAGTCCAAAAAATAATATCTTAATTTTCTATCACCTGCAATTAAAATAGGGAACTTCAACAACTCTCCATTCTCAAGCATTTTTTTTTTAAAGGAGAAATTATTTTTAAAGTAGAAAGTCAATCAATCACTGAAAAATTATGTGAAATACTCGAGAGCTTCAGCAGATTAAGTTCCATCGCTCTGCAGGGTTTTCTGTCCCCTTCTGCAATATTAAGCATCTGCTACCAAGGATATTTCAGCTTCACATTTCACCAGTTTGGATAACTTGACTTTCATTCCCCCTGCTTTTTGGGGAGTTTTTTTGGGTTGTTTAATGCTTGGGGTTATTTTTAAGAATAGGATAAAGAAAAGCTTGAATACCAACAAGAAGTAAGAGGCTAAACCTCTAAGTGACAGAAAATTCCCAATCTTATCAAACTTTGATACAACAGTGTAAATAATTTCTTTTGTACTCGGAGAAGACATCAAGTTCACTGACGGTGGGCCTTTTTTTTTTTTCATCTGCTTGTTTTAATTCACTTCGAAAACAAGAGGATGTTAAATTAAGATAAATCAAGCTTGGAACAAGTTATGTTTACAAACGCACAATAAGCAGAGCAGAAATTAGCTTTCTGCATTCCAAACAGGCACAATATTCAAGACAAAAAGCAAACTCCTCATGTTAACTAACCATTATCTCGCTCCTCCAGACTGGAGAGAAGGAAATAAGGAAACTTTGTTGCACAGCTCACTGTGCATCAAATCCGCGGCCCTCCAGTGAGGACCTGCGTGCCGTGATAGTTACAGGAGGCAAACAGTGTTGCAATGTCTGGCAGAGACACTTCACCCTGAACGTTTTTATCAATGAGCTGCAGCGGCGCTTCCAGGGCCCGCAATTTCGCCAGCTCGGAATAACCCAGTGTTGACGACAAGCCGACCAAGTACACTCACTCCAGCTACAAGGGATGAAGGGAAAAAAATCCCATTTCCACTACAAGTCCCACACACAAGACATTTCAAACTTAAGTTTCTCTAGTTGCGCACAAAAACTGGAATTTCCCAGTAATTTTCCCGAAAAACTGACATTAAACAGCAGCAGTACCTGCTCCTACAAGGGCAAAAGGCTTCAAGAGCAGGTGACTAAAAGAAGTTTGTTTTGTTTTTTTTTTTTTTTTTTAATAGAGAACCTCTAACAACATTTGCATTCATTAAAATAAGTACTGCTTGGAAAAACAAAGGTCTCGTAAACAAACAGGAGGTCCTCCTAACAAATGAGGTTTTAATGAGCATTACTGCAGTGCTGCCAACAGACCCACCACACAGCAAGGGAGGAATCAATGGGCTGACGGGCACGGCTCCTGGCTGGATCACCAGCTCTGAACCAGATAAAAATCAGCGGAAACCAAAAATCCATCAGCATGAGAACTGCTGCAAGAGCAGTAAAAAAAAAAAAAAAATCAATACTAGATCTCAAGCTCCTGATTAGACGCGATTGGAAATGTCAAACTCTTCCTAATTCAACAACACCAGCAGTGGGCTTCAGTACCCGATGAAGACAAAGGTTCCTCCTGAGTAAAAAAACACAGAAAGCACTAGAAATACATTGCAGAAAGAAGCACAGAGAACTGAGGCTCTTTCACACATCACCAACTGTACAGAAAATGAAATAAAGTCTAATATAAGCAACGCAGCAACACGTTCCCCACTCTGCCAGCACTAGAGCTAACTTGGCTATTGTCAGTGCCTGTCACTCCAAACCAGAGGGGAATCTTGCAAGTGGAATGAAGACTTGCAAAGGATTTTAACTGCTTGCTATCCCAACCACTTGTGATTTCAGTTAGGTATTCTCTCTTTTTTTCCCCTTTCTCAGAGGCATGCACCACTAATTATTAAAATATTTTCTACTAGAAATAAAAACTGAGTTGCCATAAATAACCTTCTTCCTCCTTAAAACTCACCAACACACGTGTGAATCAGTAACTTCCATACAGCTGCTTCCACATCAGACTAAGATGTCCCAAGTGACAAGACTTCAATTTAAAGAATAAATTTATTTTCTCCCACTTCGAGGTTCTCCCTTTCCCCAACGCTTGGATCACAATAAATGAAAAGGGAAAGAAAGAGACTCAAAAGCCATGACAGTGGGTACCCCTGGGTCTCTTAACCAGCTATTGTAGGATTGTTCCGACCTAGTCATTGATTAACACCAGGTGTCCAGTGGGATCCTGGGCAGTAAAGCCCTGAGGGAAGTGACAGTCCCTCCCTCTAATCAGAGGCTAATAAGAGATACTTGGAGATGTGTCAAACTCAACAGTAAAGCAAAATTTGAAGCAGCTGAGTAGGTATTCGTGCTGGAGCACGGGTTCAGATGTCCAACCCGTTTCAAGCTTAAGCACCTCCACCAAGCAGCTCACACGCCACAATAAAATCCTATTTCATAGCTGCACAGCCCACAGGCACCACGGGAGCCTACTGCCTACCTAAACTACTTTTATATTCATTGCTGTTTAAAAAAAAAAACAAACCCTCAAGTTCCTTTCCCTCCTAAATGCAAGCAGGTGAGTGAGGTTCCAAGAACAAAACACCCTGTGAACTTCAAGAACTGTGTCATGTCTTAAAACTCCAAACAGAGAAACCTCTCTTGCTGTCAGCAGGACTGAGAACAGCAGCACTGAAAAGGTAATGAAATCTGATGGATCTCTCCTGAAGGAGAACTCCAGAGCTCGAGGCTTGCAGCGAGGGGGTGCTGGGATATTATGTAATGCTGCTTTGGAAGCCTGCTCCTGCTAAGTATTCCCTATGGAATCCCTTCCTGGAGCTCCCACAGAACCCAGCAGCAGCCCCCCATTAGGGAAGCAGGGCAAGGAGCAGCACCTGACAGTATTCCCCAGCAGGGAGCTGGGTGGAATGATCCCATTTAACCTTGGGCACTTGGACAAGAACCTGGGGGCCAGCTACTTCACAGAATCACAGAATGGTTTGGGTTGGAAAAGGGCCCTGAAGATCATCCAGTTCCAATCCCCTGCTATGGGATAGAACAACTTCCACCAGACCAGGTTGCTCAAAGCCTCATCCAAACTGGCCTTGGACACTCCCAGGGATGGGGCAGCCACAACTTCCCTGGGCAACCTGTGCCAGGGCCTCAACACCCCCACAGTATATTTTTCTAATCTGAGCATACTCTCAGTTTGAAGCCATTCCTCCTTGTCCTGTCACCACATGCCCTTGTACAGAGTCTTGCTCCATCTTTCCTCCCAGTTCCCTTCAGGTACTGGAAGGCTGCAATGAGGTAACCCCAAAGCCTTCTCTTTCCCAGGCAGAACAAGCCCAGCTCTCTCAGCCTCTCCCCACGGGAGAGGTGCTCATCCCTCGGATAAATTTGGTGGCCTCCTCTGGACACGCTCCATCAGGTCCGTGTCCTTCATTCAATGTCCTTCATTCCCCAGAAAGCAAAGAAACCTTGGCCACCCTGTGCCCGCACAGGAGGAAAGCCTGAGGGGCAGCTACTTCTATCGGGTCACCCCAGCCGAGGGCAGCGAGTGCCCGCAGGCTCGGGGAGGGCAGGGGGGACCGCGGGCATTGCCCGCCGCCTCCCTCATGCCGTGCCCGGCCGGGGGAGCTGCGCGGCCCTTCCACGGCACGGGAAGGCCGGGCAGTGTCCGACCTCGTCCTCCCCACAGCGGGGCAGGAGGCACAGGCCGCACCCGCCCTTCAGCGGGAGCCCCTCACGGGGAGCCCCCTCGCCCCCCCGGCACACGCTGCCTCCGAGGCGGGCGGGAAAGCGGCCGCTACTCACAACTCCAGCATCCACTGGCCCTGCAACACCAGGCTCCAGTTGGAGCCGCACAGCACTCGCACGGGGCTCCGCGGCTCGCCGGGGCTGGAGGAGGAGTAAGAGGAGAAGGCAGAGGCGGCGGTGGGACCCAGCAGCGCCGCAAGGAGCAGGGCGCGGAGGAGCAACCGCCAGCCCTGGCCCCAGCAGCCCAGCGCCATGTTCGGCCCGCCCGCCCTCAGGAAGTGCATGCGGGGGCGGTGCCTGCGCGGGGCAGGGGCGGCCCTTCCAGGGCGGCTCCGCCCGGGGACCGCCCTCCCCTCACGGGAAAAGCCGGTCTGAGCTCAGGCGAAGGGTTTCCCTTACCCTCACGGGAGAAGTCACCGTCCCCTCACGGGAGAAGCGCCCCTTCCCCTCGCGGGTGAAAACTCTTGCCCCTCACTGGCGAAAACTCCTGCCCCTCACGGGCGAATCGCCCCGTACCCTCACGGGCGAAGCCGCTCTCCCGTCACGGGCTAATCGCACCTTCCCCTCACGGGCGAGGACTCCTGCCCCTCAGGGGCGAAGCTGCTCTCCCCTCACGGGCGAAGCCGCTCTCCCCTCAGAGGCGAAGTCGTTCTCCCCTCACGAGCGAAGCGCGCGGTGCCACAGACCCCGGCAAGGCTTCAACCCCAATCTCCCGCTCCAAGCACGGCCACCGGGCAAAGCACTCCGGCCCCAGCGTTGCGGTGGTTTCCAGATCTCCCGGTCAGGTTTTGAGATCCTCCTTCTGGTATTGGGGCGCCCGTAATGAGGAGGCCTGTTCGTGGTGCCGTGCCGTGAGAGCTGGTTAAAAGGCTGTGAGGCACCAGCGCTGTCGGGGTGTGCTGTGGGATCACGGTAAATCAAGTGTTCTCTAGGGCCACGAGGGATTGTCATGGAATTCCGGCATCCCGGAAGAGTTCGAGTTAGAAGGGACCTCTGGAGATCATCCAGTCCAAGGCAGGGTCACCTGGAGCAGGTGACACAGGAGCTTGCCCAGGTGAGTTTGGAATGTCTCCAGAGAGGGCCTGGGCAGTTGTTCCAGTGCTCTGCCACCCTCAAGGTAAAGTTCTTCCTCATACTGAGGTGAAACTTGTTGTGTTTCAGTTTATGGCCATTGTTCCTCATCCTATTGCTTTTCAGCCCTGGGCAGGCAGCCCATCCGTCCCAGTGTATTGTCTACCCCATCCTAGACACATAATTCTGTGTTTTCCCTCGACTTCAATGAGATTCCTGTCAGCCCCGTTCCTTTGGCTTGCCCAGGTCCCTCTAAACAGCAGCCCTGCCCTTGAGTGGAATGATAGCACCCTCAGTTAGTGGAAATTAAGACAATCAACTTCCTTAGTTAGCCTAGTAAATAGAGCAGAAAAAGAAAACACTGTACAGGTCTGGGCTGCTTTCTTGTGCAAAACAGAAATTCTTGTTTGGCTGAAGATTATCCTGGCTTGGAAGTAACTTGTGTTGAAGGATTTTTCTATCATTTATTGCAAAAAAAAAAAAAAAAAAAAGTTGATAAGCTGTTGTTAAAGCATTTCTACACCTGCCCTCCCTCCTCCATAAGCAGTAGGACTTACACCTCTGGATTTTATCTTTTATCCCACTTTGACAGTTTATCTTACGAGGCTCCTTTACGTCACTCCCATATTTCCCCACTGGAATCTGGGCTGGACGGAACCATTCCTTAAAGCCTGAGTATTGCTCTGCCCTTTATTTATTGACACTGAAGCAAACTCGGTGTATTTGGGGACAGAAGCAGAAGGTGCCCACAACACCGATCACGCTACGCGGAAATGAAACAATTACAGTGATTTTTTCCTCTTTTGCTGCATCTTGGGGGTAGCGAGGCCTCTCCCAGTGACTCAGTGATATTCTCTCCTCACTAGGTGTTCCAACAGCACCTGCCATTACCAAAGAAGAGATTTGCTGACTGAGATCCCTGACTTTCTGTGCTATGAGCTTCTTGCCACTGCAGTTAATGCCAGCTGAGGATTAAGTAAGTGAGAGCCTCTCAGAACACACATATATCTTGTCATACTTTCCATGTGATGCACATACACCGAACTCAGAGTCTCATTTTTACAAGTTTCCTAAGCCTTTAAATATTCCCGTGTTTTTTAAAAAAACGAAACAAAACCCTCTAATTTATCAGTGCCTCGGCTGAGTGGAGAGTTTGAAAATTGGATGTGGTGTTTTAGCAATGTTTAGACCTGAGATATTTAGGGAAAAGAAAGAAATACAGCACTAGAAATTATTTGAGAAGGCACACACATGGCTGAAACTGCCTTGGGAGGAGACAATAAAGAAAATACTTTTTTTCTGCTGCTAGTAGGAACTGAAGAAACCTGAGAGAAATGTTAGTTTTTCTGTAGATTCTTTGGAGGAAGGACCAAAAATTGGCCAAAACACAGAAAGGTTTGAGATCTGGTGAAGCGAAATTAAGAGAATCCATGTGACAACGCTGTGCAAAAGGGAAGGCTGAGGAACATTTTATTATGGGGTGGTGCAGGGTGGTGAATAATTGTATTTACATCGTTCAAGAACATGGCAGTGAAGGGGGTGGCAAAACAGAGCTCCATGGAGGGGCTGAAGAGGAACATGTAAAATGATGGCTCCAGATAAATATGAATTCAAAAGAACCAGGGAAGGAAGGCTTGACAGTAAAAAGAGTGAAGGATTTTACAAGTAATTTTGGGGTAATTTGCAGCCACATTCAACACGGAGGAGGTTTGCGTTTCAGGCAAAGGCTGCTCAGGAACGAGGCAGAGTTGGTTTCATTCCTGAAAGTGAACAGAGCGTTCCTGGAACAGGGGAGACATGACATGGTGCTGCTAATCCCTGGGAAGTAGGTCAGGCTTGCAAAGATGGAGAAGGTACATCTCATCTGAACCTGATTAGGAGCGGGAAACGGGAAAAGGATAGAGAGGGAAAGCAAGGAAAGGCCAGTTAGAGAAGACAAGTGTCTGAGCCAGACCTGTTATTGCTCCTGTAATTACTTCAATTCCCACTTCCCTTACAAAATCTGCTCTCCTTTAGCTTCATTTGGCTTCTGTTAAATCTGTACCTTCTGCAGCTTCTACGCGTGTGTTGCTCTGCTGGTTTTGCACACGCCTTGAGAGCTGTAGTTCTCCAACTTCCATAATCCCACTGCTGTTCAAGAGAAAATTCAGGAATCAAGTGTCACTTTAGGTTTCCACAGCTGTTGATAAAGTGCACCCATGAGCACCAGGTAAGTTTTGGATAGGATTTGGAGAAAAAGGAAAAAAAAAAAAAAAAAAAGATTACTTCAATTCCATGTTTGTTTGTTCTCTTGGTAAAGAAATGTTTTCCAGCATTCTTGACATGTTTTCTTTCACTGTGTGCCATGATGGATTCATGAGAGTGCCTAGAGCAGAATAAATTACTGGAGCACTCATTTCCCTAAAATACACTTAATATCACCATCCATGTCATTTTTTCCAGTTCTATACTGGACTTCCAGAACTACCCTCCTAAGGCTTTTGGAATCTGTTCTTAATGAATTGTTTGCAGAACTAGAAAATGAGAGGTTTTTTTGTAACACAGACAGTAATAATTTTGTATTTCTGATTGTATTTAAACGTGTACACGTGACAAACAAAACAAGAGTTGCCCTGCATTTTTAATATGTGGAAGCTAAAAGAGGTTTATAATTTAAAACAAATAATGTAGTAGAGAGTAAACAAAATGTGGCCAAAATAAGTATTCCCTGAAGTTTCTAACATGGATTCATTAACCATAAAGCTTGTTTTATTTAAGGGGAATGGTTTAATTAAAATAAATAAATCAGTAAATACACAACACTGCAACTGTGAGGAAGTCACCATGGCTCTGCCTTTGATACTTGATTAAAATGAACAAAAGGTTTTATACAAGACTGACTTTTGACCAGGAATGTTCATATCTCCCCTGCAAAAATGAGACTAAAAAATTCAGTGGAATATTAAAAGAAATATTTAAAGAGCTTTTTTGTTCATATGAGTGAAGTTAATGTGAATCTAATGGCTACTCACCAAAAGGTAGGTATGTAATGGCAAGAGGAAATCACATTTACAGGGTACTGTTCCCATAATCCTTCCAGTTGAACGTGGCTTTCAAGAACATCTCTAACTTTGAGCTCTGTTATCCCACAGAAAGGTGAAGATCTGGTTGTCCTGTCAGGCTCTCTGATTTGGGGATAAGTTATCAAAGGCATTCAGCACGGGAAAATGTATCTTATTATCCAAAAATCCCACCACTCACTTGTTTTTGCTTCTTGTAATAATGTGCAGTTCTTCCCTACCTTCCTGAATGGCTGTCCTTGATCTTGTAGTATTAATTAATATTTAAAAAATCTGCTTTTTCATCTTTTATCCAAGCACGGAACACACTTGGCTACCGAGGTGGAGTACAGCAGTGCTGGGTGTACTTCCTGCAGCCGCAGCTATCCAGGAACCCCGGGGGGCAGGGATACCTTGTTCAGGAAGCACAAACGCCTGTGTGGGAGCTGAGGGAACAGCTCTGCTGCTGCCTTTGGAAAGGTGACTGCTCAGCAGGGGAGCTGGGACAGGAGGAAGGGGCTGTGGAACCCGAAGGGCAGCTTATTTCTAGCGAAGTGTCTTTATGGGTATCTTCATCCTCTTCCAAGGCACCACGGAGAGGGGCAGGAATTCATTTGCAAGCCTTATGTAATACCCAGCCCTGCCAGGAGGTGCGTGCTGGGGGCTCCCTCTCCCCACGCAGCGCTCCAGTATTCAGGAATGCCTCCGCTTCCTTAGCTTTGCATGAGGCAAGCACAGACCTCCCACAGGATCATCTCCCACCTCTGCTGTGCATCTGTTCATTTTCTGCCTGTCAAGCCTCTTCAGAATTTAAAAGATCTTGCAGGAGATAGGAGAACAAGATTTCGAGTTCCTCAGATCTGATAGGAAACATGAATTTTTATTGCTTGACTTATTTTTCTTACTTTTTTTTTCTCTTTTTTTTTTTTTTAAGGGGAAAAGAGAAAGGAGAACTGCTGTGTAGGGAGCTGTTGCTTGCAATATATCTTTCTCAGCAGTAAAAATATCTCCAAGACAGGAGTACAATTCTCTTTTTAGTCCTGACACCTCCAAAGCCTGATAAATGTGGCTGAGTTAGATGGAGAGGCATTATTAGGTTTTTCTTAGATTATGATGCCAGCTCAAGCTGGCTAGGCTCATCAGGCAGTAAATCCAGTA